CTAAAAAAATATGAAAGATTCATCATTGTGGAAAATTCTCTCAAAGCGAAAGTAATATTAGTAGGAACTTATTACCTATGCTTAGAGACGAGTCATTTGATAAAACTTGCTGACACATGTTATGTTATATGATTTCTAAAAAATTAGTTTTTTTATCTAGAATTGGTGAGTTAAGATATTGTCTTTCTTTTGGTAACAGTAAATTCAATATATTTTATGATTTAATACAAATTAGTTTTGGAGTTTTGTGTAATGGTTTATATAGAATTAATTTGAATTTTAAGTTTGCAAAGACATTAGTGACCCTACAATTAAATGTTAGCTCAATATGTAGTTTCAATAATGAAATATCTTCTATATTGTGACATAAATGAATGTAGCGTATCTCTAAGAAAAGAATTAAATATTAGTGAAGGTTGATATTTTAAAAGATTTAGACTTCACTGATTTTGATATTTGCATAGATTGTATTAAAGGAAAGCAGATTAAGGATAAACAAAAATATTACAAGAAGTAAAGAATTCATTAAAATTATTTATACTAATATCTGTAGACCACTTTATATTCCATATTTTAGTGGAGAAAGGTATTTCATCACATTTATATATGATATATCTTGATATGATTATGTGTATCTAATACATAAAAATTCTTATGCTATTAACACTCTTGAAGTATATATAAATGAGATCAAAAAACGATTAAATAGAAAAAGTTAAAATTGTTAGATCTAACATGGGTGATAAATTTTATGACAAATCTAATTAATTTGATTAGAATATTGGTTAAATTCTTAAAAAACAAGGTGTTTATGCTTAGTATACCATAACAGGTGTGTCATAACATAATGACATTGCTAAAAGGTAAAATTATACTCTTATGGACATGATTAGGAGCCTGATGAGCTATTTATTTATACTTGAATCTATATGAGTTGAAGCTCTTAGGACAACTATATATATCTTGAATAGGGTTCTTAGTAAGTCAGTTCGATCAACTCTATTTGAGTTATGAACTGGTAGAAAATCTAATTTGAAACATTTACATATTTGGGAGTGTCCTACAGAGATAAGTGTCTTCAAACCACATAAAAAGAAATTGGATCCAAAATTTATTTTTAAATTTTTTATTAGTTATCTAGTAAAATTTAAAGCGTATAGATTTTATTGCTCTAATCATATTATGATAATAGTAGAATCTAATAATGTAATATTCCTAAAAATGATAAAATCAATAGGAGTGAAAAATCTTAAAAAATTAATTTTGATATTGAGGAGTATAGATTAATTCTCATTTATCATCTTTTATTCGAGAGATCAAATCATTGAAAGAATTAATCAGGACAAATGACAAAATAAGATTAATTAACTCTTATATAATATTGATGTCGTCACTAATGATCTTGTAAAATAACTACAACCGATAGTTTTGAAAAGATCTTAAAGGAAAAAATGATATATCATTTCTGATGATTATATGGTATATCTATAAGAATTAAATTATGACAAAGGGATGAAAAAAGACTCTTTATCATTTTCATAAGCTATCGAATATAATGATTCTAAAAAGTGATATGATGCGAGGAAACAAGAGTTAAAATTGACTAGAATGGTGCTTAGATACTCGTTGAATTACCTATTAATTATAAAAGAGTTTATTACAAATAGGTCTTTAAGATAAAACATGAGTCAATGGGCAATATTGAAAGATATAAAGCTAGACTTGTGGCTAAAGATTTTTTTAAAAAGAAGACATCGATTTCGATATAAAGCTAGACTTATGGCTAAGGGTTTTTTTCAAAAAGAAGACATCGACTATAATGAGATATTTTCTTTAGTTTCTAAAAAGGACTTCAAGTAGCTCATTATGATCTTGAGTTATATTAAATGGATGTGAAAATAATATTTCTAAATGGATAATTAGATGATAAAATCTATATGGAATAACATAAAGGATTCATAGATAAGAGAGAAAAAATTAGGCTTGTAAACTTAGGAAATCTATTTATGACATTAAACAAACTTCCGGACAACGATATATAAAGATATATAAAGTTTCATAATACCATTACTTTCTTTAGAATTAAGAAAAATATTATTAATCAGTGCATATATCTGAATGTTAATGGGAACAAATTCATTATATTGATATTATATTTGCTTGCTAGTAATGATCTTGGTTTATTGGATGAAACAAATATATTTCTCATTAAAAATTATAAGATAGTTGATATAAATGAGACATTATATGTTATTGATATTGAGATATTCATGGATAGATCTCAATGATTATTAGGACTATCTCAAAAAGAATATATTGATTGAGTCATGGAGAGATTTAGTATGTAGCCTTGTTTAGCTAATAATATATATATTACTAGAGGTGAAAGATTCAATTAAAGCTAGTGTCCAAAAAATAACTTAGAAAGGAATCAAATGAAGAATATTCCTTATATATGCATAGTTAAAAGTCTATTATATGCTCAAACATATCCAAAACTAGATATTAGTTTTATAGTTAAGTGCTAGATAGATACCAAAGCAACCCAAGAATGAAACATTGGGAAGCTACAAAGAAAGTAATGAGATAACTATAAGAGATAAAATATTATATGCTCACATACAAAAGATTATATCAACTTGAAATGATGAAATATTCATATGTTGATTTTGTTTGGAAATTCATTTCAAGATTTATATTCATGTTAACATGGGCAATTTCTTGAAACTGTACAAAGCAATCACTTTTTATATTATCAACAATGGAAGCTGAATTTATGATATACTTTGAGACCACAAATCAAACTTTATTATTATGAAATTTCGTCTTAGGACTTGGTGCGATTTAACTCAATTATTAGGTCGCTGAAAAAATTTGTGATAATACCACATTAATTTTCTTCTATAAGAGTGACAAGTATTTTAGTAATTCCAAGCATATCAAGATAAAGTACTTGGTGGTTAAAGAAAGGATCGAGAAATAATAATTATCAATTGAGAACTTTATGAGCAAGTCATAAAAGATATAATGATGTATATTTGGGTGGATGCTATTATTGATTTTTTTCTTAATTAAAGTTATTTATTTTTACTATCCTATTTATATTTATGTATATTATAATTGAATATAATAACAGGATTATCTTAATAAGATAAATTTTAAAAGTCATTATGGATTATATTGGGAAAGACTAACAATATTGTGATATATAAAAAAAAGCATGACATTGATGATATATAATCACTATAACTCATATTGGTAGTTGAACTTCATGTAGTATTATTATGCTTATTAGATTTATTGCTTGTTTTATAATTTATGACCATATATAAAATACTTTTCAAAATTTTTAAGAATTAAATTTGGTAAAGTTATTTTTAATGCTTATTTTTAAGAGTTAAAATTTTAAATTTTTTTTATATCTTACCGATTAATGAGCAAGTAGGAGAATGTTAAAGTATGTAGCATATCTAATTAAGTAAGATATATTATAGATCTGATTAGATTTTAACGATAATTTTCAACCAATAAAATAAAATTCTAATTATGATAAGATTCCTTAGGAGATAGCATGAACTCTCCTAAGTACATATCCTAGACCCTCTACTCTTTCTTATAAATAGACAAGACTTGTTAGGGACTAAAAACATAATATGTGGAGATGTAGATATATGATATTATTGAGAGATTATAGATCTTCTCTTATCTCCTCTTAGTCACATGAGCTAATCATTGAAAGATTATAATTCTTCTCTCATCTTCCCTTGTCCCTAATCCACCAATCATAGTAGTCCTGTGAAGGATAGGAAGATGGGAGAATGTGACTCTAGTTCTAATTACAGATCGACATCATTATGGTTTTCAAATCCGAGGACGATGCCCCTACAGATTAGATTAAGATTTGTTTAGATGACATCAAAAGTTATGCACTATAAATCTAATATATTGTTATTTGATTTCAATCCTAACATTAATATTTTTGTGTAACAATAGGGTATTACAATTTTTTTATGTCTACAAAAACCCCCATATTTTTTAAAGAACGAAATTGCCTTTGATCTTTGCCCTCCCATGCCGTCACTTGTTGCCCTCACCTATTCTCCCCTCTTCCTTTGTCATCCTCGTTGACTATCACCTTCGTCTTTCCTCACTCGTGTGCCCTCTCCCTTATTGCTATCCTCCACTCTGCCTTGTAAAGGCCACTGGCAAGACATCTTACCCTTTTGCTTTTGAGGCTTTATTATATAACAGTGTCACCTCGCATATCCAACGCTGTCGTCAAAAGCCAAAAGGTGTCATTATCTCTCATCTCAAGTGCATAGACAATGAGAGATGAAAGTAGCAGCGAAATGTGACAATGGAAGAGTGGAGGAGAGGCGAGGGTCATAAGGCCTTGCAACAAGCGATCGGTGATGTCGAGTGATGAAATGTGACAATGGAAGAGTGGAGGAGAGGCGAGGGTCATAAGGCCTTGCAACAAGCGATCGGTGATGTTGAGTGATGAATGTGACCGATTAAACGAAGGCGAGGAGCAGTTGTACCTCTCATAAAATAAGTGATGCTTCACATGAATGAATGAAAAAGAAATACTACTCAGAATAAAATGAAAATAAAAAACATTTTTAAAAAATATTTAAAAATATATATAATTTTAAAAATAAAGATTAAAAGCCTAGCTACATTTTTTAAAAACTATATTTATAATATTATAAATATACTAATTCAATCCAAAAATATTAAACATATTAAATTATACAACAAATTCAAAATATATCATACAACTCCTTTCATTTTTAATAATAGACATTTATGCTCTTACTCCTCTTTCAATCTTCACCTTCTCATATAATATTTACTAATAATATGATCTCCGATAGTTGCTTATTATAATATCGAACGCTCTGGCAGAGAACAGATTATGTAAATCCCTCGAGCTGAGCAGACCGCAGACCCCCACAACAAAGCTAACCAAGACAGTGTAAACAAGGCAGTGATAAACATGGTTGCCAAAAGATACACCTTATATTTCACCTTGAACATACATTTTGTCATGTAATTGAGTTCATCTCATCCAACTCGAAGCCCACAAACTTATCTGATATACACAATAGAAATGCTTTTTTTAACCCTGACTTTCCATACACCAAAACAATTTATAATCCTACTAAAAAGAATATGTGAAACTTAAGTAAACTATTATTCCAGTAAACTTCTCTGGATGCCATGTAACAAATCTCAACTACGAGCAGTAAACTTTTTCTAAGCCATGCATGATGTGAGAAATCTGCATATTCCTTGGAAAAATTGATGAATTTTGTTATGTTTCTACTCCAGAGCTGCATGATATGATTTGGTGTCTTACTGCTGACTTCGCTTGGAATGCCAAAGTTTCTTCTGACATATTAACAGCTTCTCCTTCTCTACATTGTTTTCAGTGTCATGTTTCTGGCAACCCCACCTCATCCCTTTAACAATGGCTGCTATGGAGTCCACATAATAGTTTGATTCACGAATTATCACATACCCATTTGGACGCAGAATGCGATCCATCTCAAAGAGCACATATTTTGTTTCACATCTGAAAGGAAGATGACAAATGTCAAGATACATGCTTATGCATGTGCAAAGTTGCATTTAGTCTTTTATATATATATATCCAACACTTTTTGGTCCTTGCCCGTAATAAATGATGAACATGTAGTTCTGTTTATGGAAACTTATGGAAATTCAAGAAGATAAATTAGCAATTAGCATAGAAATTAGTCGCAATGATGAATAGGTTTGCTTCTCTATGAGGCTGAATAGTTGACAGAACGTTAACATCTTGTGGTAGGCCAAATAACTCACAACCCCCCACCAATGCACATCCACAGACTCTTCATTTAAGAATCATTTGGCATGGCTAAGTGAAAAAAAGAGAAATGACCAAAGAAAAGGGAAAAATATTTGGTGGTCTTTTGAGGGGTAAAATGGAAGTCTAAGATCCCAACCCTGGGCCATTTTCTGGGTAGATCTGAAAAAGGAGATTCTCACATAGAAGAATAGGCATCAATATTCCCTAGGAATACAAGTGAGAAGACAACAACAGCCCTAGGTCAGGAACAAATGTATATTCACAAAAGAGACGAGACAGTAAGGGTTCTCCCTCTCAAGGCATGAAATGAAGTTAATTTCAGATTATCAACATTCTACAGTACCTCATTAGTGTCCTAACATCTTCATTCAGAATTGGTGCCATAAAACATGTCCCAAAGGAGAGATCTGGAAAGATACTGTCGCAGTCTAGTAATCATAGCTATGAACAAAGTTCTTCCACCATGAAGTACAATTTTCTCGAAACCATTAAAGTGTTTATTCTTCTAAAGTGTAAGACAAACTTCACATTGTTTGCTCGGTTTCTATTATGAACACAACTGTTACCTTGGGATGGTAGAAACTAGGAACTTCTTAGTCCGTCAAAAATTGTTGCTACAAGGAGAGACTTGCCTAGTCACTTCAGTAGTCTCTACAGTGTCAACTAAAAGAATCTCTTGATGCTTCTTTAGATTTCTTGCTCAATTATTTTCTCTACAACACCAAAGGAGCATCGCATATATGTTTAGCCAAAGTTTGTTATGTGGAAGCCGTCAATAAACAGGTTAAATAAAAAAATGAAAAACTTCTCTAAATGATTGCAATGAAAACCATATGAAAATAATGATCAAACTTGCTTGTGTCTTTTCTCACTTTTACTGCCCTAAGATGCATAAATTTTTAATGGCTCTTCAGCAGATCTAGTCATGAAAAATTGACACAATGACATGTCCTCAATTCTCAGTTCTTAATGAAGTGTGGTTCTGTCATGACAATATCAGATCTTGACTTGGAGAAAAAGTTGTGGACTTGTGATATATTTCAGTTTTCAATTTACGTTGATCACTGCAATTGTATATGATCTTTTTCAATTTCTTGGGGCATATTTGAAGCATTGGTTGAAATATGAGAAGCCACTAGCTCACAGCTAAACAAGGGAAAACGTCAGGAACTAAGTACTTACCTGTGACTTTCAGCAGTGAATAAACCATCAAGATGCAGGAGGTCATAAGTCCGAGGATATGTTGAAAATGCTTCACACCTACATGCAAACATTCAGGGATCATAGTCAAACAATTTGGTTGAATTTCAAGAATTCTTCTTGCACATTAACTACAATGTATGGAACTTTACTATGTATTTTGCACTTTATAGAAATGCAAATGATCGACAAAGTGCCAATAAAATATGCAAAAGTGCAGTTAAACTTATGTCGGCAGCATTTACTAGTTCCGGACATAGATGATACAAGAATATTAGAAAGATAAGTTCTGAGCAAGATCCATAAGTAGATTCAACAACACTTCAGAAAGTAGGTTGACAAGTGAGAATACTGAAGTCTGCATTATTTTTTCCACTAACAAATCCAATAAAAAAAGGCTACTTATGTGGCTGACCTGGAAATCTTCTATTTTAAGGACAGTGAATCAAAGGATTATAATGATATAGAAAGAGAAAGCTAAAAGTACTTAAAATATGGAAGATATTCAAGAGCAAAAGTAGAACACAGATACGAATTTGTCATTCATGTTTCAGGACATCAGTTCATCAGAGCCTTCTCATTTTGCAAAAGTTCCACATATGGTACTCAGAAAGCAAAAGCATGAAGACAATCCCAGATAGGTTATGTCTCTAATGATTTTAATTTAGAGATCTTTTAACTTGTTTCATGCTAATCATTAAGTTTTATGCACTCAAACATTATTATGTTACAATTTTTTTTTTCTGCATTCAACATAGTGATGTAACAATCTTTTTTCTGGTTCTATTGGAAAATTACACACTTTCTTGAGACTTGAACAAAGAAGAGAAGACACCAAAGAAAGCACTTGCAAGAGATAGTCTCTGACATGATATATAGTGAAGAAATTGGGAACTCAGCAGATTATTCAAAGTCAAAGATCGTATTTGGTAATGAAGACATCCGAGCTTTATTTATTTGAGAACTCCATAAGCATTGTTTTGATTAATAACTTCTATGTGTATGCCATGTTGTGTCATCTTCTGCTTCCAGAAGGAAGAAAAGATTTAGCTGCTTAGATCACATTTGATCATGTATGGATCTAGATTGACTCACAGTAATCTGTATCAGCAGGTAGTTTAAAGTATTAGAGTTTTTAGTTATCAACTTACCAGTCATGGTAGGTTCCAATTAGTCCCCTGTCATAGACCACACCGAGGGAATTTGGACCATATGAGGAGACAACATTCATTACCCATACAGGATAACTGATGAGTGCTGCAGCAAAACCTCCATATAGTGTATTCATATCCATAACATTCCGAATTTTATCACTTCCAAGGGCTGAAAGCAATGTCTTATAGTGTTTTATCCTCACTTTCCACTTGCTGTCATCATGCTTGAATCCACCAGAATTCCCACCAGGAACCATAGCAATGCGTTCTGGAGTTATATGCAATCTTTCAGGCCACCTTGGAGCAGATTCTAGTGCCGACTTCTTCAATTTTTGGCTTGGAGCATTCAAGCAAGTTCGAAGTGGTATATACCATGCTGAATCTGGATCCATGCTGTCGTCACACTTTGGTGGAAAAGAAGCTAGAGTCAGTCGATCATAGCAACTATCTGAAGATTTCTGCCACACAGCAATGTCATCCTTCATAGTGTAGAGTTTGAAGCACATGCTGGTTAACAACTTCTTTAATTTTTCAAAGTCCGCTTTCTGCTCTTCCACTGTTGTGTTCCATCCACGCCATCTGTTTTCGTAGTTTACAGGTGGTCCAGAGAGCACCCAGAAGCCACCAGGTCGAAGTATTCGGTGTATTTCTAGTAGATAAAGTCCATCTGCAATATGATTGTTAACATTTAGGATCATTCATCTGAAATGTAATCAGACTAAAAGTAAACACTCCTTTATGAGTACCACATATCTAAATTGCAAGAGATGACAAGAACAGGGTATATATTTTGGTATAAAGAAATAATCAGCCATTCCATATCAGGAAAAAGGACATCTCAGAAGTAACAATTTATAAAATGATACCTCGATGATCACCTAAAATGCTTAACAATGTTATAACACTTTAACTGCAATTTACTATTAATTAATGAAATATGAACAAATCTATAGACGTGTGAAGCATGAATTTTTTTTAATGAGAAAAATAGACATCAAACATAAAAGTTCTATGCAATTTACCAAAACATAAATAATGGAAAAACATGGCTAAAGAGTAGGGAATACTATGTACTGATAAACCCTCTTTCTTGGTTCTCAAGAAGGTTAAACACTTAATGTATCTCCTAGTTTCTATGTAAAAACATTAAAAATAAGAGACTTTTCCTATGATATCTCATAACCTACAACCAAAAACAGAATACCACATATGGACCACAAATATATGCTTATTGCCGAGCCAGAAAATTACCAAATTCTGTCCATGGAATAAGACATCTGGAGCAGTGCGCCATATCAAATGAATTTGATGGGAATGGGAGGCGCTGAGTAGAGATGATGCCTAAAATTGCTGGAATGCCACGTTCCAGAGCAAACTGTACTTGAGCCTCATGATTATCTCTGGGTGCAAGAGAAACAGTTAAAATTCCACGGTCTAACAAATCACCTCCCCAGCTTGCAACCTATTGCAGAAAATATGCAACTTCATTTGGTCATGACCACTAAATGTATCACTTGTGTAATGTCACAGTATAAACTTAAAGAAGAAAATAGCAATATACAACAAGGTGTCACTGAAAGATTCTGTGATTAAACATCATGTCCTTGTTACTTGCCGTGAAACTTTCCTACATCAAACATTTGGCTTCCTGATTTTTCTTACCACACGTGAGGTTCAGACCCACATCACAACAAAAATTATATTAAGTAATGTTGGATCTGGGAGAAAAGCAATGATGAGCACTACAATTCACCCATTTTCTCAAGTTTCTACCCTTAGGTTCAAATATACAAAATAATGCAGAGATAAAAATATATACCGGAATGAAGCTTCTCTACCCAATTAGAACAATAACCATGTACATACATGCTAGCATAATTGATGTCATAGCCCACTGACCAAATTTCAACTTGAAATTTTAAAGCCAGAATAAATCAAAGCAATCAATCAATCTTGATTAGAATCTCCTTTAAAGACATTTGTATGCCAGTTCTGGCCATTTTTGCACCCATAAACTATGCGGAAAGGCATTAGGAAATTTATCATTGTTAATTTCACTTGAATGTAAATGTTGAGCACTCACCCCACACCCAGTATCAATGGCAGTCCGGATGGTTCCATTCTTCATTCCAGGGATCAGATCCTGCATCACGTCAACATAAGCACCAACTCCACTGGGAAACATAGTACCTCCACCCGGAAAAATGAACTTTTCTCCTTCTTTTCTAAGCCAGTGCTGATTTGATTTCTCATTGTTTATCCAGTCATATGGAACATTTCTGAATTATTTGCAAAAAAAAAGGAAGAAAATAAAGCTTTCATTTTTACCAAGTATAAACATGAAAATGGTCAATTCTGCAGAAATACACGGATAAGCAAATGAGGACCCAGTAAAGAATGTGATTAGAAGGAAAGAGAAAGAATACCTGTACCAACATTGATCTCTGCTCTTTGGCCATCTAATTGGCACCTTATATGCAGGAGGAGGAGGCACTAAGCATTCTTTTCTCTCAACCATTGGCGGGCAATGGCGCTCCATGAAACTAAGCCTGTAATTACCATACTTCCTCCATCTCTACATGAAAAGAAAGAAGTTGTGACTTCCATGAGAAGCCTTTGCAGACAGTTAGGCTTATCATGGTTGTGCTTTCAGCATGCTGGCAACAACCATACACATTTAATTTTCTTATTTCTTTGAAGTTGAATGTCTGAAAATTGAAATTTCAAAATGAAATATGAAGTACCATAGACAGACAATGCTACTCTGCAACCAGGATTAATAAAGAAGGAGAAACTTAAAGGACGTTATTGACAGAGTCCAAGGAAAATGGAGGGAAATGGTTGAGGTAAAGAACCATTATTTAACCAGTGATTAAACATTAATATTAATAGAGTGGAACTGAGATAAATGAATCTAAAATAGACAACACTTATCTATTGATAAGTTGGCAGAACGAGTCAAACTTTATCATTCACATCCTTTTAGAAATTGACCCAAGTAAGCACAATTTTGCACCATGTTATTTAAGTTCTGATGTCTCAGATAGTATTACATCTGGTGTGTGAACTGGTGTGAATCACTAGAAAGCAGAACTTGGATATACCTTGGGGTCTGTGCAAGGCGTGTAATCTTGATAATCACTACTGCACTCAGGGACTTCAACAGACTCGATCTGATGAGGGGCTTCCACAGCTTGCTTGCGCAATTGAATTGCAGGTGCAACATTTTGCTTAAAGAATCTATTATTTTCAGAGTAAAAGATGCCTCCAAGATAGAACGAAAATCCACATAGTACAATGAGCATTAGAGTCATTGGAATGATCCTAGAACTTTTATCAGAATATGCTGCAGATTTAGAATCTTTATTCTTCATTCTTTTTTTTCTTCCTGAAATGAAAGGATTGGAACAAAACAAGGCAACATAGTAAAACATGTAAGGATATCAGAACCAAAAACTATGATCATTCCAGTGAAATTGCACAACAACATAAGTTTTGAAATGTATTATAATGAATATAACGTATTTCCCATGCACGAGATGAAAAACCTAACAATAAAAGTCATCACTTCACCAAATAAACATCAACCAAAAGAAGATTAGGACTTTCTATGCAAGAGTCATGTCAAAAAGACTTGTTAAATGTAAATCTTGTTAAGTAATCAAGCATGTTCTGGTTGAAAAATGTAAATCTATTTGTCAAAGTCTTAAAACAATATACATAAAAGAGGTCCAGCATATCTTTTGTTTATGAGCATGTTTAATCGCATATTTCTTGGCACAGTGAGTACAACGTCAAGGAAACAGTAGAATTACGCAAACACAACGCAAATTGATTGTTTTTCAGTTAAGCAAACCATTTAACACTGTTTTACTACTCTACTCGTTTCAGGGAGACCCAGAAATATCCCTCACTCATTATGCTGAAAGTACACCATCATATAGTGATCTACTCTTCCAGAGATGAAAAGGATTTTTGATCTTGTTAAATGTTTTGGGAAAGCAAATGTCAAATACATTTAAACAGATGCAAGACTGCAAAACTCGTTAAACTGCAGAAATCATCAACTAAAACAGAGCCAGTCACCTCCTGGCATAGATCTAGTGCCAATTTGTAGAGCTCGTAGATAGATCCACGTGGCAATTCCTCTTTTTTTTTTGAGGTAAAGGGGGGAAAGTCCAAATTAATGAGCTATAGTTAATGAGTAGAGGTGACGTAAATTAAAGGTTAACAGCATTGCCATAACAGAAAACTGGAGTGACAGATAATAGCAATGTTTTCCACTCGAGAACTTCTCGACGGAAAGGGCCCTCAGACCCCATTCCATAAAACCAGCGACAGAATGACTTAAAACCGATTCGCACCCCACAATTAGAGACGGAGAGTGCCCGATTCGGTTACACGACAGAGAAGGCCAAAAGGATCGGCAAGCGGAGCTGCCGGATCGGCATAATGGAGTAGCGATCTAAGGTTTCGTGCCACGGAGAAGCCAAGAAGTTCCTGACTGCGCAAATAATGTATACCGACAACGAGATGAAGATATCAGACCCCGGAAGGATTCAAGCAACAACATAAACTCGCAGTTAGCAGGAACCAAATCGCAAGCCATATCGGGAGTCAGATCTACCTACGCCATCAGTCGGAGAAACAAAGCGTACCTGGGTAGAGCCTCTCTCGCTCGATGCTGGTGGTGCCCCTTCGCTCTCTACCCGCTCTCCGTCTACGGATGATACGAAAGAGAGAGAAGGGAAGGGGAACTCCGTCCACCCGAAGAATAGTTGATGCACCACCGCCAAGCCCTCCACTGGAGTCACTGCCATTTATAACCCGAAACAGTCGCCCGAGAGAGAAAGCAGTTCCATCTTTTCGATTTCTAATTTGGTTAACAGCTGGCTCTTGTCGGTGGGGGCCTCGCGCTCCACACTCACTTGCAGCAGGTGACCCGAAATGGACGTATTCAGAACACGGAGCTTACGTATACGTTCATACGAAACGGGTAAGAAACATTAGGCGAATGAGAGAGAGAGCGAGAGAGAGAGAGAGTATGGAAACGGGTGAGGAAGCTACGGGTTCTTCTCAGCAAAGTTTTAAGAGGTTAACAATACGAAAGGAATCGGTGACGGAACGAACTTTCCTGCGCTTCCTTGACTCGTACTCGCTTGATTAAGAGGGGTCGGATTCCGTGCCCGTCACGCATCGGTTCCCGTCTCTCTATCTGCACGTGCATGTCGGTTTTCCACTACATGTTCATTTGCCACTCAACATACGTATTCGTTTACCGATACATGGATCCAATGGACATCTCTGTGTTTTGTGATAAGGATTACGATGAACAAAGATGAGCGTGTCGCAAGCAACGAGCTGAGGGAACAGTTAGTTAATCGGAGTGGTTCTCTTTTTCTTCCATCATGGTTGACGTTAACACGGACGAAGTGGGCCTCGCAACGCTTGCACGCTACTCATCTCTCCGCTTGGCCACGCCGATGGAAAGAAGAAGCCGAAACAAATTACCGGGAAAAGGATGAGGTCTTTGCGCTTCTTAGCTTTGTGGCGAGGCTCGAGAAAGGTAATGAGAACAAGGCATGGTCGATGAGCAACGAAATAATAAAGAAGACAAAGCCGATAGCGGAGTGCAACGTGATGGTGTGTCGTCTAACCGTCTTGGGCTCATCATGGATGCCCCTCTCTGGTCCCCAAAGTTGTTCGATGATGGGAGAGCGACGGCTGCGAATGGAGACGTTCATGTGCTGCCATGTGACTACTGTTCTGTCCGTGCTCTTTACGAGGGAACCCCATTCATTTCCATGGCTTCCCTGTGGCACCGACTTCTGCGTGAATCGTGTCCATGGACTCGCCCGTGTTCTGATGTCCCAAGAGTTCACAACCCACGAATCAGGCTCGACCCGGCCCAATTATGGAGACCCATTCCAGCTAGACATGTTCCACATATAGTTGTGGTTCGAACCATCAGTTTCTTTTTTTAATTAAAAATAATTTAAAATCATTTTTTTTTCTAAGTTTGGATCATAATGTCACTTTGAAAATTCAATACATGTAACGAGTTTAATAATATAAAAATTAATAACATTATATATTTTTGAAAAAAATTAAAACCCTCAATTTAAACTAGAATTGAAACTACTGACTCCGGTTCCAAAAATCAAGAACCGAAATCGAATCATCCAAGTTTGATTCTCATCTGTCTGCCCGGAACATGATAGATACCAACAGTATACTATGTGCATGTCATATTTACTTTTGATTTAGTCGATTGATCCAGTAATTGGATTTACTAAAGCAACAATGACCAGTCCTTGTTAGGAGTGTAGAGTGATTTGTTCTTCAGTAGCAGTTGTTGTGGTTGTTGTTTGTACATCGCTGTGGTCATCGTTTAAATTATAAATAGAACAGTAGAAAAGAATCACAGAACGAGACAAAGATTTAAGTGGTTCGGCAACATGATGATGATGTGCAGAGTGAGCAAGTTACTCCCACCATGCGCAAAAACTTACGCCAGTCTCACAAATCCAAGTGCCTTTCACAAGAGAGAAACAGCAGGTCCGGGAGTTCTGGAAGCAGTTTCATCCTCCAGCATATCTGCAAGTGCAATAAAAGCAAAGCAGGTGTTTAATTAACTCTAGCAAATCGAGTAAAAATCTATCTGCAAGTGCAATAAAAGCAAAGCATATCTGCAAGTGCAATAAAATAAAAAAGGGATCGAACCTCAAAGCAAATCGAGTAAAAATCTAAACTGTAAATTCGCCATGCAAATGAATTTTGACTATTAAAAGAACTGTAAAAATCTAAACACTACTTCTTTCCTACATGCAAAATGTTGATTTTAATAGGTAGAAGTGTCAGCAGATCAGCAAGCAGATGTTTCCACAAATTTTTAGCCATTAGACTAAATATTTTAGAAACTTGGTGTTTAATATTATCAATTCCGGTTTCAAATCGGATGAAAAAAAGTAAAATTATATTAGATCTCACGAACATGAATCTTGGTGAGATTTACACCTTTCTTGTTGTCGTTGTATTTTAGTAACTTGATGATAACAAATAAATAAAAGACAGGTAGATCAATAATGAATTTGAATTTACGAGCAAATTACCTTTCTGTAGATGCTGGTCGTTTCTTCGATTTGGGCAATAGCAGAGGCTATATTGTTTGGTTCAACTTCCGCTTAGAACCCTTCGCGGACAGCCTTCGTTCACCTGATGTGATTGAAACTGCTGAAAGGTCCTGTACTAGTGGACTTTGCCGCAGGCTTTGGTGGTTCAGGAGTTCCAAACACGTTCCAAAATCGAATTGTTTCATCTCCTGCCGCAGATGCAACAGTACCGCCATCTGGACTCTGCAAGTTTAGCGAGAAACCATCAGCAACCTAATAAAAAGCCAGTTTCGTCCTATATCACCATTAGGAAAACCATCGATCTTTAACCTACCTGGGCCATGAACAAAACCCGAGAAGTATGGCCCGTGAGCTCGGCAATCTTAACCATGGAAGGGTACTTCCACAAGGTGAGTTGATTCTGAGTGAACCCGTGAGAGCTGAGCAACTCGCGCTCGTTCTTGTTCCACAGCAGGGCGCAAACTTGAGATCCTGTGTCCACCGAATTCAGACAGGCACCGGTGTGCGTGTTCCAGAACTTGATGCATCTGTCGCCTCCACCACCGCCGGAGGCAAGCAAATTGCTCTGGAATGGGCACCAAGCAAGAGCTTTTACTGCGGCCATGTGATCTTCGAACCTGTGGAGCCACTGGTTTTGACCTGGAGATGGGTTTGAAGAGGCCATAGATACGTCCCATATGTGCAGAAGGTTGTCGTTGCCACCGCTCGCCAGTTGCTGGCCTGATCCGGACCACTTCAGACCGCACACCTCCTGTTGGTGGCCTCGATACCTCTGAATAACATGAGATCTCATTCTCACGTCATTGTTAACGATCATGCCGTCCATTCCTCCTGTGGTCAGAATGTTGTTGTTCCACGCCAGAGAACCAACTCTCGATCCATGTACGCCTCTCAGAGTCCTCATCTGTAGCACGACGGGTCATGAAACACTACGTCAGAATCTGATTCGCTAACTACGGTCAGAGGAGGAGAAGAGCACAAGGCACCGACCAAGCGATTGGAGCTTGAGTCCCATAGTTGGATGTCTGAGGAGTTCAAGCCAACCGCGATGTGTCGCCCATCGGGAGCCCAGCTGACACTGGTGACAGGGCCAGCATCGTCATCCACAGTCATAAGCTCGGAAGTCGACCCATCTGAAGCGTCCCACAAGTACACGGTGTTCCCGAGGGCGATCGACAACACATTGCTGCTTCCCCAGTCCATCAAATTCAAGTAGTAGTCATCCACGATATCGGGCGCATCTAAGGTCCTCTCCGCTGACTGCAAACATCGAAAAGAATTTACCTGGACGAGTAAGCGACGAAGCAGCAGAATTAACCAGCAACGAGGAGGCGTAGGCCGGGAAGAGGAGCAAGAACATACTTGGGGAATGTATCTCCGCTGCTTCGCAGGCTTAAGGTGATGAGATGAAACATCGACTTCCTGAAAGAAAGGCTGCGATGGTGGTGGAGGTTTGTTCTTGAAGGTAAGAATTCTGGTTCTGTTCTTTAGAAGGTTCTCAGCAAGAAGCTTCCTGTATGCCTCTTTGGAAGGCGAAGCTGCGACCGCGTTCTCCTTTTCTTTCCTTGGCTCCGTCAGCAGGTAGTACGCCACATCCATGTCCATAGCTGACCGGTCAGGGATGAATCTGTCTCCCTGTAATTTCCCAAAAACAACAATTACAGAATCTCAATTAGGAGGATCCAGTAACTTCAAAAACTCAGACAATCCATTAAAGAAACGATATAGGATTGATGATGGGAACATCAGCAAGCCACAAGAACGAGAGATGATCCATAAGAACATCATTATTAGTTTCATTGCAGGGAAGAACAGGGCTTACAGTCTGCCAAGAAGATGGATTCCTGGAGGAGGTATGCATCGAAGGCAAGAACGGCCTCGAGGGGACGTCCCGAAGAGCGGATCGACGAGATGCCGATCGGCCCTTCTCCGAAGATACGGAAGAAGAAAAGCTTCCTGCATCCATGGTATTAGAAGAAATCCAAGAAAACAGACGACACAAAAAAGGAATATAGAACAGAAAAAACCAATTGAACGAGACAAATTAGATATAGAAGGCAGCCCCTGCAACCAAAAACACGGTTCGAGAACAAAGCTAATAGGATCTATATATGCACAAGATCAAAAATCAAATAAGTATGACGGCGAGGGCTGATTGATTGCGAGATCGCTTGCAGAGCGGAGGAGACGAAGATGCCCTTCCTCTGGTTCTTTCTTGTTCCCAGAGAGAGGACGAGGAGGTGCAGACCGCGTCGATGTAAGTAAGTTTGTATGGTGGATCGACGTATAAATGCTTCGGCGTATATAAAACAAACTCGAGGATGGGGGAGGAGAGGCGTTTATTGGTCAAATACGACCCCGCCCTAACGGCTAGGTTACCTTCTGTTCTTCCTGTGACAGCTGGAGAATATAGCCGTTGGTGTCGGATGCAGGGAAGCGATTCTGTTAATAAAAGCATATCAAGCGATTCTATTTCTATAATCATTCCTTAGAATATTGGAAAAGCATATGAAGAGAAAACACATTCCGAGCTCCATTTCGAAATATATTAGAACGCATGTTACAATTCATCACCTCATTCATATTAATCAAAGCAGGCCAATGATTTAAGTGGTATGCTAGAAAAATCAAGATTCATCCCAAATATTGATACTTAAACTATCATCGATCAAGATTCAAAGTCCCTCCAATAATAAATACTAAAGAGGAGACGAGTTAGATCCTTGCTTGGGTAAAAGAAAGTAGAGCATAGGTTATCTGATTGTTGAGAAGAGGTGAAATGTGCTTAGTGTCAATAAACTTTTTGACAACATGAATATCACGAACATCAAGACCCCGGAGTCCCTAATGGAAGTATTACAATCCCAATTAAGAATATTGAGCTTGTTATAAGAACTATCATTGTTTCAAAAAATATATATTTAAAATTTTAAATCTTTTTTGGATGCTTTTATCCTATATGCAAGAGGACACGACTTTGCAGCTAATAAGTCCTACCTATTTTATTAATATAAATAATATTTTATTAATAAAATAAATATTTTATTAATAAAAAAAAATATTTTATTAATAAAAAAAAATATTTTATTAATAAAAAAATTTTGATCGCTAATCGGGATCTTAGATGGGCTGACATAGTGTCACGGACTTAGTTGATTTTACCTAAGTTGTGCGGTACTCTTGCGTGTCTGTCCGTAAAGATCAGCCTCCCCGAAGCCTCCCATGGTCCCTTAAGACCTACAAAAGAGAAAACGAGTTCAAGAAAATGCCTCACTCGGGATCCTAAAGCAAACATTTCCGAAAATACTTCATAGACAATGCAAATTATAAACATACTTTACAAGCTTTGAACGGTTGCATAATAAAAGGTCAAAATGGTCCACTACAGATCGAATATCTTTCACAAGTATCCCCATGACACAATATTTATTTACAAGCCTAAGAAGACCATCAAACCCAATTAAAATAGGGTTGTTAAGTCTTCGACAGTTCGTCTACATGTTGTGCAAAGCATGAACAAATTAAAAGGTACGGACATACATAAGTATTACATCAAACATCCTATTTAAAATTTTATCCATGATAATAGGCTCTTATGTTAATTTAAATACCTCAAAGGTCATTTATTTTTTAATAGGAACATGATTTTTGATTTATTTTGGTTGATGCTTCGATTCGAACAGAGAAATACATAATTTAAAGTATAGGTTGACAATACTTTGTTAGCTTGGCCAATAAGTTCTTTTTGTTTTTTGTATTTTTTAGATCATATAAAAAATTTTACATACTTCAAAAAAGATTATTTACTTTCTTTAATGTTAAAAAAATTATAAATTCAATATTTGACTTTGATTGACAAGAATAGTAATAAAAAAAAAAAGAAGCAATACGCATACGTTATAAGTGAGATTTTGACCCTTTAATATTGAATGGGTCCCGCTCGCCCTTTTACGTAGATTATAAGTTTTGGATGACCTGAGTTTTAACGAGTCATCGATATACGTAGCTCGATAGTCCTTAGTAGTAATTAATGATATCAGTACTAAAATGAGTTTTAATTTCTATCCGCACTCTGCACTATGTTGCTCTCTTCGTAAAATATTTGTTGCTCTCCTGCCTGGCTGACACGGACGAGCTAAAAAGTACATACAAAGAAAAAGAAAAAGAAAAAGAGGAGTGATAAAGAATTATCTGATTTTTTAATCTTCCATTTAGTCATTTCGTTTTTATGACTTTGCATTCATCGCGACCTTCGATGTTACACATGCTTATCTTTTCTGATATAACTAAGTAATTCTATTGTTCTCTCTATTGTCCGTTTATTTCATGTGTGGATAACACAATTAATCCTTTACAAGTCTACCCACACTTATATAAAATATTTTAATTTATCTTGTCCATCATAGTTAATTATCATCTTAATCTATTTTATTTTAGTTAATATTGCAATATAACATATTAGTCATACCATATCGTATATCTCATTTGTTATATTTTAAGATATTAATTAATGTTACGATGAAAATGATGTGATTGACATATTAGCACCACCTGTCAGCTCTCTTCTTATGCGCTGACGCTGACTCGACGTGACGAATACGATATAGCCATTTGATCAATACATTAGGATCATATGATTGATATGACAGTTTCACATGGAAAACATATCAGCTCAACGTGACCGACCAACGATCACACGTGATTGACTCAATGGAGCCACTTGGCCGACCATTCGCCACCACTACAGCTTCGATGAATACTATATGTAAAAGCGTTATACAATCCCAAGTACAGTAGGAATCACACAACAAATAAATATAATGACTCCAAACCTCTACTATAAAAGAGGGTTAAATATACAAAACAAATTAACTTTGATTTATCCTACTTATTCGAGTAAATAATTAACTTAAACATCCAATGAACCTATGTAGATAATATCATTTTATAGAGGGAATAAGATTGGACTTCAACTAGATTTCATGTTATACAACTAAAATTTGCTAATAAAGACTTTGTCAATTGTAACTCATGTTCCTAATTAATTGTGACATTTTAATTAAAATTGGGAGGAGATAGGTTTAATACCATTCACTTGCGATTAAATATTTTTGATCCCGTTGTGAATAACTTGAACTCAAAAAATAGCGTTTCTTGATTAAAACTATCTTAGAATTAAAGAAAAATATGCAAATTCAATCAAAAAGTCTAATATGAATAATTTATGTTAAAATACTAAATTTAAATAGCTGGTTAAAAATATATTTTAAATCTTTAGTAACTCAGACAATTCATCCATCAGAAGCCTAAAAAAATAAATAAAATTATTTTATTAATTTTTTTTATATAAAATATATTTTTAAATTATACTTACATTATGCTCACACGTATTAATTTATTATTTTTTTGGGTGATAATAAATATTATTAAAAAGTGGAGGAATTCTTATGCGTTAACAAAAGTGATCATCACATAACTGCAATAAATATTATTGTGACATTTACAGGTGACAATAAAGTGAAAGAACGAGAGGACACAAAAGTGGGGCGGGGGAGGAGGAGGAGGGCAGGCGCGGAGAGATGGGCGACGGCCGAAGCGGCGGCGGCGGAGGAGTGAATCGGCCGGCGTGGCTGCAGCAGTACGACCTCGTGGGGAAGATCGGGGAGGGCACCTACGGCCTCGTTTTCTTGGCGCGGACGAACCTCCGTAAGTGCTGCATTGCCATTAAGAAATTTAAGCAATCCAAAGAGGGCGATGGCGTCTCTCCCACCGCAATCCGAGAGATCATGGTGCGTATCTTTCCTTTATGGCCTGTGGATCCATGGATCTTGGTCCTCAAAGGCCCAAAATCTAAACGTTATTTTCCCCCCTCCTTGATGATGTCTTAGAGACGACTATATGTTGGTAAGTTAGGTTTTCCGATTATAAGAATGAAATGAGATCTCCTCATTTGCGATATTTGGTTAGGGGCAACTGTTTTATGTGATAAGTTAGTAAGTTTTGTTTTCCGTATTATAAGAATGTGTCGTGGATGATTCCCGTCATACAAACAAGTCTAATTTGGGATGGGCAGGTGATGGTTAGTAGACCCTGGAACAAATTAAGGTTAACATGATTTTGCTACATTGTGGTCCTTGCAAATAATTATTTACACCTTCCGGGGGAAAAAAAGGAGTATAGAAATAACTAGTATCTAATCAAAGGATGTTCTTAAAAATGGTCAAGGATTAGACAACTGTTGTAGCTTGAAATATCTCAGTGGAGGTGGAGTCTGGTACTAAATTGGATCTTACTCTTACAGAAACATAACTTTCTTGAAAGGGGAAGGAGCAACTGAGTTATATGGATTTCTTCATTTTAAGATTTATGTGGTTTCTTCTATGTCGCAAATTGATTATGGCCATCCTTAAGGAGCACTGGTGCCGACCAGAGTTTGATAGAGCACCATTATAAAGATTAACACAGGAGCCGTTCAAACATTTATGTGATGAATGTTTTCATGTTTGGTAAATTATGCTTGATGGCTTGTTACATTACTCATCCATTCACTGATTGACTCATTCTGCGTTGTTCTGTTCTTCATGGTATAGTGCATGTGCATAAAACAATTGATATGGTCTAAAAGAAAATTACAAAAAGAAAAAATTAAACATTGCAGTAGATCTATTTTTCTATTGTTGTAGTAGAGATAAGATCCGTGTACCAGGTTATATTTCATATATATTCTCAATCTATTTTGTTGTCATTGCAGCTACTGCGAGAAACTTGTCATGAGAATGTTGTCAAACTGGTGAATGTACACATCAATCATGTGGATATGTCTCTCTATCTAGCATTTGATTATTCTGAGTATGATCTCTATGTGAGTATTCTAAATTTCTAATTACCTTGTAAAAGAAATTCTGTCATACCAACGTCACTGGTTTCTAACAGAAAGTATATTTTTTGGATAACAAGCATGTGATTCGTTAAATCAAGTGATATTAAGAAATAAAACAGGGTATATACATATTAGTTTACTGATTTATAGGAATATTTGCAAGTAGTATTTAGAGAGATTCATATCCACTGACATTCAATATGGTATAGACCAGTAAGATTGCTTTCGTGTGACTTTATTGTGGAAGGTTTAATTCATGGAAACAACCTATTTGTTTGAGCGTGATGTTGTGTATATTCGTAGAAACAACCTATTTGTCTTCTTCTTCATCTTTCTTCACATGCTTGTTTTGCTTGACTCGATGCTTTACTTGTACATAATGCTTCTGAGATGATATATTATTCTAGATTTGACAGAAAATAGGTACCTGCAGGCTGCATATTTCTTATGATTGGCTTTTGCTTATAAAACCTTGGTTGTTTGGTTCTAGCAACTGCACAAAATACAACGTTATTAAGAAATGAAAGTGAGGGTTTACAGAACAGATGCATCACTTTCCATAACGTAGTGGTACAACCTGAAAAAAGAAAGATGATATCATAGTTGAACAAACAAATTTAGATGATGCAAACTGATGAAAGTGTCCAAGGTAAATCATTTGAATTGGACATTAAGAGTAATATCCTCTTTTATTGCCCAGTTTTAATTGGTCTGAGCTTGGGCATTGCAAAAATTAACTCAAGCCAATAAAGAAACTTACTACATTGTGTATGCTATCAGTATTTTCAGTTATTAGATTTTGATTTATTATGTCATCACTGTTCCTCCCTTTATTCCTGTGCACTACAGGAAATTATCAGACATCATCGAGAAAAGCTTAGCCACAGTATTAATCAATATACTGTAAAGTCGTTGCTCTGGCAGCTGCTTAATGGACTAAACTATCTTCATAGGTGAGAGTTTTACATGCAATGGGTTCATTGTTTCTTGTCTGATTAAACATTATATGCTCTGGTGTCACTATTGTCATTGCACGAATAGCAAATTGTAAAATGTTAGGTGGGGTGCTGAAATTGTCAAGTACCATTTCTGCTTGCAGTAATTGGATTATACACCGTGATCTGAAGCCGTCAAATATTCTGGTATTGCTTGGATACATTCTGTTCTAAGTTTAAGAAATTAAGATTTCTTAATGTTTCTTCATGTGTTGGATCTGAATCAGGTTATGGGAGATGGAGAGGAACATGGAGTTGTAAAAATTGCTGATTTTGGACTTGCTCGAATCTATCAAGCTCCACTGAAGCCATTATATGAAAACGGGGTAAAAATTGCCTTCATCACATGCAAAACTTCTCACTTCCAAACAGCTAGTTCATGAATATGATTTATCACCTGGTAATGTTAAAATGATATGTTGCTTGCTTACGTGTTCATATTATTCGTCTTCATGCTCATTTTCCATTGGGCTGATACTGTTGCTTTCCATCCCAACCTTATGATCTGACAACAGAGTTTATTAAAACCTTCTAAATAAAACCTAGACCCTTCTTTAAGTCAGGGCTATCTCTATCATGTGTATGCATACGGTGCATAATCATGTCATCATGACCTGATTGTTGGAAAGGAAAATGACAAATAAAGAAAGATTGCACATCATTTTCATACAAAGTATTATTTACAAAATCCACAAGCACACAATTAACAAGGTATAACATTTTGGTACAAACATACTACTACAAGTGATTTAAGACACTAATACCTCTAGATTCATTTGATATAATATTATTACAATATAATTTTTGAATCACATAATTTATACTCAAGTGATCAGATGCATCAGCCAAACTGCAGATTCATGAGTTTAATGAGTCGTCAAATACTTGCTCTTTGGACAGGTTGTGGTAACTATTTGGTACCGTGCTCCTGAACTGCTACTTGGTGCAAAGCACTATACAAGTGCTGTTGGTATCCTGGTGCACTGTATGTGCTGGATCTAGACTTGTCGTATTATTAAGTTTGAGATCCTTAAATTGCATTTAGATATGTGGGCTGTCGGATGCATTTTTGCTGAGCTATTGACTCTGAAACCATTGTTCCAAGGAGTTGAAGCCAAAGCTACTCCAAACTCTTTTCAGGTGTTAACTGTTTAGATTTCAACTTTTAAATTTTGGCTCCTTGTTTGCTTAAACTTCATTTATCAGATGGGCTGTTCTATATAACGTCGAGTGTACCTTACAATTTTACTTATTGATCTCTATACTCCGAAATGCTTTTTCAGCTTGATCAATTGGACAAGATATTCAAGGTACTAGGTGAGAAAAAAAATAGTCAATCTTCTATGTTTCCTACAGAAAAAAAAAATCTTTCCTACAGAAAAAAAATCTTTAATTATTCTATGTTTCCTACAGAAAAAAAATCATATGCAAATATTTTACAGGGCATCCTACACCTGAAAGGTGGCCTACATTGGTTAATCTTCCATATTGGCAAAATGACCAGCAGCATATTCAGGGCCATAAGTAGTGAGTCATCTCTCTTTGACATTTAGGGGGGTATGTATTTTCTTATAAAATAGTCATTGGCTGAGGTAAGTTCTTTTGGACTTTTATTTTGCAGTGATAACCATGGTCTACATAATTTTGTTACTGTGCCTCAGAAAAGTCCTGCATATGATCTTCTATCGAAGATGCTGGAGTATGTAATTTTTCTAAAACATTGGAGACTTTTTACCATCATAAAACATTGAATATTTTTTCTGTCGAAGATGATCATACTAACTCCATGCTGTTGAGATCTAAATAGATGTATAATAGTGATTTCTCGTTCATTGCCTGTTTAAGTATGGGTCTTTTAGGCCTTAGATAATTGTCATTTAGGATCTTTTGCTGGCAAGGTTGTTAAAAGCAGTGATGGTGTTTGTGCATCTGATTCTCTGGCAACCTAATTTGTTGCCAACCATGTATGTTGTGTTCAACTTCCCATTCTGCCTCTTCTAAAAAAACATGTGGAAGGTTAGCTTTAGACACCATCTAGGAAATGATAGATATAGTAGCTAGTTGTACCTCATGGCTTCCTGGAACTTCTTTAACCAAGGTCTGTTGTTTTCTTTATTTTTATACAAACCTAGGTTCCTCGATTATTGAAGAACAGAGTCTCTTCTAGAACATTATTTTTGCTCAAAGATTCTGAAGTTCATAATATTTATTAACAAAGGGGAACTTCTTTCCATAGGAAAAGCATTTGATGGGATTGTTTCACTCTTTCCATAAATTTATCATGATTCCTGTGAGTTCATGTGATGTAGGCATAATTTATTTTTTCTTAGTTTATTCCCTCTAATTTTACATTAGCTGTCATTGTTGGTCAATATAATTTTAGTTTTCTTTTGTAGTAATTACATCATTCATGTATCTAAAGTAATTATGTGGTAGTTTCATTCAAAGATTTTATTTTGTCTTTCTTCTTTTATTGTTTAGTCAATATTTAATGTGAGAAATGATTGGCTGGAGGATAATGAATTCATCATCTTATGAAACTTGTAAATAGAGTATTAGTGTTTAAATCCAATCTATATATTTTAAATGTTGACAGAATTGAGTTCTACCATTTACTCACTAAGGTGCATCTTGTCCTGGTGGTCTCGATTGCTAGTTCTTTTATTTACATTGTGTTAATTGTTTTTTCTAATGTACATCTAAACATCGATGAATAGAGTTCTGTATGTTGGCAAAGCTAGAACTGATCGGGCAGAAGCCCTCAAAATCAAATCCTCCAAGGGGGTACTAGTCAATCACAGATTTAATGGTTGTAAACTTATTCTTGGTTGTGATTTGGGGTTGACTCAATTTCCTTCATCTTTTTGTGCATTTTTCTTGATCATTTACCCACTTAGAGGTGTATTTTGTAACTTGTATTAGTGATTTTTACTGCAAATATATTGAATGAAAACTAACTTTTAGTTATCTAGTCTGTAGAATTGAAGCCAAACCAAAATACAAGAAACACAAAATTAAAGTATACAAAGTCAGTCTGGTTGCTTGGTATTTGAAGGACAACTAAGATATTATCTCAACACGTGTTCAGCATGGAGTCACAACCAAGGATTGAAGTTTTTACTGTATCGGTTGTTTGTTGGTATGGACCAGTTTAATCTATCCAATAACTAGCCATTGTGAGGACATAGTAATTTCACCTGATTTGGTCTAGAGCTGAGCTTGTCACATGGTAGGCTTATCGTACCAAGTTTATCAGACGATAAGCTAACCAATGCCAAGATGTGTCACCACAGTTATATTGTGAGATCACGTTACCAAAATGCTGTCCCACTCCACATTATTGCATTCTGCTGCATATATTTTTCTCTATAATAATATACTTTTGATGGTTCGGTTGGCACGAGACCCAAGTGACCTGAATTGATGCTCGGTATACTGTGTGGAGCACCGATATCCTACCACCGATAGTTATCAGTACTGGACCAAGTTTATAGTCCTTGTTCACAATCCGATGAGAATTAAGGCTTGGATCTATGTGGTTTTGTTGAAGAGATGGTAGATTCAACTGTCACTAATGAAGCCTCTGTGGTTGATATAATAGCAAAGATGGTGAGCTTGGGATTGATGGATGATTAAAAATTGTTAGGACTGAGATGTGGAGAGGAAAAATGAGAGGAGAGAGACAGGTGGATTAGAGGTGATGGAAGAAGAAACGTGAAGAAGAAATATAGGGGGGAGAGACGTTTAAGAAAAATGAAAATAGTAATCAACCAACTACATGGGGCTTGAGGAGGATAGTACAAATGTGGAATAGTCTTACATACGGTACCTCAAGCAAAATCAACAAATTTAGAATGCATCCTGTGGCCCAAGAACTCCAGGATAAATTTGGATAAGTGAGAACCAATGGTTCAATTTTGTTAAATCTAAAATATAATGGTGGATAACTAACATTTAGATGCAAGTTGGACCAAACATTCCATTTTGTCGCCTCTTTTGGGGTTTTCATCATAAGAAAACTCAAACTGAACCAAATATACTCTATTGGAATATTTTATATTATTCTAATGATTTATGCTTGTTCTCTTTATGGTCTCATTTTTCATTCATTGATTGTATTTTATCAAACAATTTTGTGATAGATTGCCATTTGATATTCGTATTCTTTTGCGAACTCATTGTTGACATTGTCTCAGTTTTTAAATTTAATATGCAACTCTGCTTTGTGGTATTACTTTTGTTGTTTATGATTTCAATTATTACTTTAATTACTGAATGGAACTGCACAAATCCATCATCGATCATTTTTTGACTGTTCTTTTGACATCTTATTGTAATGACAACCAAGGCAGATTCTCTTCCTTTTTCTATTTTTTATCCAAGGATTGTGAAATGTTCCATATTTAGGTTCTTTTCAGCTATATTAATTGCTGATAATTGTATCATGTTCCTGAAATCAAATTGCACTGAAAACTCTTGCAATTTCGTATCACAGACTCATCTGAAACATATTATTTTGGCAGATATGATTCTCGAAAGCGTATTACTGCAGCGCAAGCTCTGGAGCATGAGTAAAGATTGATTTTTTTCTTTTTATCAAATTATCCACTGTCTTTCTGTCTTTTGTTTTTTGTCATTGTTGAAGTGGCTTTTGATTATTCTTCTGCCATGGTGACTAGCATCAGTCATCCATATAGACGAGTCTGTTGGAGCCAGAAATTTAGGGCCATTGTGCACGTTGCTGCTGTTGCTTTTATTAACATTCATAAACTTATTCTGTTTTTTGTTTCCTGGAAGTGCCTTCATTATATTTGAAGTTTTAAAAGTAGCAAGTTCCTACTTCCAAAAGTCTTAGAAAGCCTTGCATGCTTTTCTTTTATGTGCTCTAATGTGCTGTTGAAGTTTTAGATCTCAGCTTTAATTGACTTTACATGAAAAATAATTTTCTAGAAAGTGAATCAACTCTAGGTTGTCATGTTTTCATACTACCATTGTGTTTTGTTATGATAAGTAATTTTGGAAAACAGTTCATGAATTTTATGAAGCCCTTGCAAATTATAAAAGGAACCACTCGTATTGAATAGCATTCACCGAACCTTTTCATTGGCATTGTTTGTAAATTTACTATAAAAATTGTGATGGAAATATTCTATACAAATTTAATTTTGTTTGTACCTACTGAATAACATTTGGCAAGAATTTTATGTAAATGTTTTATTTCATATCTACCTTCTTAATGACATTGGTAACTTTTAATTCATTTTGCAGAATTTTCCAAGCAGTGCCATTGATGGAACCTTGTTCATGTCTAATCAGATTATTGAACTTTGAAGGGCTATAAATATTTAGGATTGTAATTAACATGAATAGAATTCAAGTGCTTGTCATATCATTTGTGGCTTTTGTCTAAAATATACCATAAAAGAACTTAGAGAGTTAATTAATGGGAAAATGGGATAAACTCTACCTGCATGGGTTTGTCATGGCTTGTTTATAATGCTGAAAAGCTGCTGGGGCTTAACTGTGCTCATTACCTCATTGGAATTGGGAAATTATTTGTAGATCTGAATAGACTGAATCTTCATTAGTTATAAGAGGTCAAGTTCAGTGCTTTTGCATAGAATTGTTTGAGATTTGTAAGGGAACTTGGAATAGCTAAAGTTTCAGCTTATACTGATTGGTTGTTGTGAGTCACTTGGTTTTTACTTGACCACTTTTTCATGCTCTCCATGCATAAAGGTATCCATTCTTAGGAGTTAAGAACACCGTTGGTGTATTTTCTGCATGTCTTTTAATTGATTATTAAATGTCCATAAAAGGTGCATGAGCCTATAATTTTAGATGAATTAGGTTACCGCAGGTAGCCATTTAGATATGGAGGAACTTAAAGAAAATTTAATGGTGCATTTGAATTATATAAATATTGCATTGTGTCATCTAGGCTTTTATAGCAAGGGTTCTAGTCCTGAATATCTATGGCCAAATATTGTAAAGTAATCCAGGTCAAACTAATTCTTGAAATTGTTATTTGGAATTAATAGCTGAATAACCAGTTATAGCAGAATGAAGTGGATATTCAATGTGTTGTTCTTAATCGTGTGCCGGGTAACTAACTACGACATCACAATGATTATTTACTGTCCACTATGTGAATGCTGAAAGATTATGAAGATGGATTTCAATGCTCATGACAGTTATTTTAATGAATCCTTTGACGATATGACAAAGATGCCACCATGTATTTAGTTATTTCTAGCAGGGAGTTGTATTGTCAATATGGTGTAAACTGTTGATTTTACATATCATTAATGGTTATTACAATTTGTTAGACCTGCTAGCCCAATAACTCGAATATAATAGGTTTCAAAGAGCATGGTTGATAATGCTTGAGCCAATGTTACTGGTGATGGACCAATTAAGTCTTATGGACAAATTAAGTCTTATTAACTCATCATCAACTACGTATGTGGATAATTGGTATTACAATCTCTTTTACCAAAAGGGGTGATGTTTTATTCAGGCCCAACAATAGCATACATGGCTTAATTCATTTCCTAGCAGGTGATGTGGAATATAGTACTATAGAGGGGTTCCATAATGTAACATGCCTCTTGCATTATCTATAGGTAGCTATTTCCTACTAGATTAGTAATACAAACATCCTCTATTGTTGATACCATAATTGTTACATCTTAACTCCACAAACCTATTAGAAATAACCTGATTGAATGGGTTATGGGCCTTGTGTCACATGACCAAATGCATAAACCAAGTTGGTAATTGTGTTGTTGTCTTATGTAAGAATCTAACCCATCAGCAATATACAATGTGAGACCATCTGCCTAAAAGATTGTGCAGAAAGGGTTGTTCATTGAAATTCAGCTCAATCCTGTAGGATAACAAAATCACTATTCGAAAACTTCATATTGCTTTTACTGGATCATTTTCGTATCTTGCAGTTACTGAAAATGTTATCCAATGCACTCCTTGAGTCATTTGTGCATATAATTAGGTTTCTCGAGAGATGTTTTGTGTCCTTTTTTCTTCATTTATTTATGGCTGCATTGATTGGATTTTAGGCATTTTTCCTTTTCTTTTGATTTTAACATTCACAGTGAACTTTTTTTTCAGGTACTTCCGGATGGATCCTCTGCCAGGACGGAAGTAAGTTGTTGTTGTTGTTGTTATTTGTCACATTGAAGAGACTAGTTTACATCTAGTTTCTTCAATTAGTTATACAAATCATTTCATCTTGTGCTTTTTTTATAAATGCCTGACAATAAATGATTTATGAATGTACATTAAACTATGTTTTATCATAATTTAACAAGGAAAATTTGCTGTTCTTTCTCAGTGCTTTAGTACCATCTCAACCAGGAGAAAAAATTGTTAATTACCCTGCTCGCCCAGTTGACACCACTGCAGATTTTGAGGGAACAGTCGCTGTTCAACCTTCTCAACCGGTATCAAAATCAGATCCTGAATATAGTTAGCAACTTCAGTCAAACATAATGAAATCATTTTACTGCCATATTTGATATCCACGCCAGGTACCAAGGACTGGGACTTTTAGTTGTGGATATTTAATGAAGCCACACACAGTTTTCTCTGTTTTGTTTTGCTGTCCAGTTGTTTTTTTTGTTTAGTCAATCTCCTGATTTGCTGTCCAGTTGGTTTTAGTGCAATACTTAAACATCAAAACCATGTTTGTATGGTGTCTCCAGGCTTTAAAATTATTTTAAGCAGAGATTGATACCTTGATTGCAATTCAAAAGATTACTGAGCCAAATCAGGAGATTGACTAACAAAAAGGGTGTAAATCATGAAAAGGGATTTCAGAAAATGATATTCATTACCTGAAATCTATCTGAACTGGTTTGACTTAACTTGGAGTTCCAACAATGGAATTAGGTTCAAATTTTAAAATCGATAAGTTTGGAATAAGTGCCAGAAAAGCATAATGGGAAGACATGTCAAAAGTTTCTATTCTTGATGAGGCCCAAAAATCTGTATCATATACTTAATAACATATAAAATTAAGTTGCATGAAACAAAAAGTTGTGGACACTCCTTTATCTGATTCTGCAACTGATTGGGTTCCTTTAATTTATTGTGATAACATGATTCTGTTACTAGGTATCTTCTGGAAATGCTGCTTCTGGAAACATAGCAGCTGCATCTGTTGCCCCTTCAAGATCCATGCCTCGGTCTATGCATGTAGTTGGAATGCAAAGGATGCCAAACACAGGCATGTCAACTTTTAATGTTGCACCCCAAGCTGGCATTGGTGCTCCAAGTTCTGGTAATATTCCTATTCCAAGGGGTGCCGCAGTTCAGGCCCATCAGCAGCAGGTAGTCTTTGCAGCACTCCTTTTTTTTTTTTAATGCATATTTTCTGTAATATGGATATTTGTATGTTTATACATTATCCTTTTGGGAATAGCTGAGACGAAAAGATCCAAGTATGGGAATGCAGAATCCTGGTTATCCTCAACAGAAGAGGCGCTTTTGAGGATAAAGTTTGTAAGTAGAAATCCAATATGTGTAGCTTTTCATTTGTTTGTTTAATTGCAATGTATTGAACCAGTAGTGAGCATTGATGCTTCTGACGGTATGCTATTAAAGGGTCATTTTGTTGAATTAAGACTTCATGATAGATGATCGAACACTCGATTTGTGACACGACTCTATCTACTGATTCCAATTGCTGCAACATACACTCATTGCTTTAGTTTTCGTTTACAAGTATTGTCTTTGGGATGATTCCGTATCTTCCACTGGAGCTTTTGGGTTTGATTAGATGATCACGTATTTGTACTTGCAGATTGCTTGAGGACCAGATGTTTCTGCAGTATTAGAGATCTCATCAGACATGGAGGAAAAGAAATCATGCAAGTCTTATACTATACCATGCCCGACCAAATAACGGCTTGGAAAAATGAAAGAACAAGATGCGCAAGAAAGAAGCTGTGACGCCACCCTTCTTGCAACACGGCAGCCATCTTTCTCAAAGATGGCATTGTACAAATGTTATGTACTGGAAGTATGCTTCTACAATATGAGAAACACCATATGTAACCATATTTCTACAAAGAGACTTGGTGGGCATGGTTGCTGCCTGAGCTTTTTTTTCCTTTTCTTTTTGCTACTTTGTCATTTGATCTCAAGTTCTGAGATCCTCGGAATCATCCTGCTGATTCACCGTTTTCGTATAGCACACTTTTGTGATGTTTTCTGAGTCATCCTGTCTCCCATCGTACAGAGCCTCACAGCTTCAGGTTATATGGTAGCGAGGCGAAGGGAACCTAACGACCGTGTCAATCTTTTTTGCATGGATTCCTGTCATTGTTTGTGTTGGGTTGTATAACATGGTTTGGTCCTATGAGGTGTCAGTAGGACCAAAACATATGTACATGCTAAGATGTTTGTGTTGGGTTGTATATAACATGGTTTGGTGCTATGAGGTGTCAGTAGGACCAAAACATATGTACATGCTAAGATGTTTGTGTTGGGTTGTATAACATGGTTTGGTCCTATGAGGTGTCAGTAGGACCAAAGCATATGTGCATGCTAAGATAGGATTCGAACCCAGTGCTGACAAAATCTTCATGTGTGCATGCTATATCCATGAACAATGGACTTCGCCAGGGCTGTGCTCTTGACGCTCCACAAGCTGAGCAGATCAGAAGACAATTCTGTAGCACCTATGCAAGATAAGCAAAGAATCAACAAGCCAAGGCTGTGGAGATACATTTAGATAGGCAATCTTGCTACTTTTCTGTTTGTGAATAATGAATGCTAAATCGAAAGCACTTCGGACTCTGCAAAATTATGACAATAGTAAATGCGCCCTTTAAACAGAAAAAAAGGGTAAAAATTGACTCTCTCTCTCTCTCTCCATAGAATAAGAGCTGTGTGAAGAAACAAATACCATTATTACATGCATATGCAGGCAAATAAACTTTATTGTGTAAATAAATCATAATTAAAATTCCTGGCTTTTTTCGAATAAAAGAAAAAATTACGTCACGATGCACAGCAACACTGAGAATGTTCGATACACGCAATCATAAGCCTAGATGCACAAAGAAACAATCTCATCATTGCTGCGTCGACAGCAAATTGGTTATCAAAGAGCAGAACGCTTCATGGAATATTCTCACCCGACTTTGGAATGACCTGGACTCTCTTCCAAGAGGTCTTTCACATGACGCCTACCTGCTGCTATATTTGTACAAAACAGATTCGCCATTGTGAGGATGAGATTAGTAGCGTAAAAAAAAAGTACAACATAGCTGATGCGCACACGTACAATAGCTATCCTAAAACAAAGCCCAAGGAGTGCGATACCACAGCTTAGGCCAATATTTCACAAACCCTATGAGATGGTGATGGGGTTAACGGTTAAGAGTTCTTGATGCCTCTTTCTTCTTCATATTCCTCCATTTATCTTTGAGATCCCCTGGTTGCCGAGTCTTATGAATTACATGGCGACCAAGTTCTAAAATTTTAACCCATGGGATGCTACCATCATTTTTTTCACCCAATTCATGAACTGCCTCCTGCACAAGCAAAAGCACTTCCCAATGATAATTTTGCCAGCTGCTTTTTGAAAGATTCAACTCATATGCTTTAATGGATGAGAAGTTGGGCAAACTAATTACTAGATCAGTTGAATAAAACCAACAAAGATTACTTTCAGAACCAAAAACTCGCTTTGAAACCATTACCAACACAAGTGGCCCCATATAGCAAATGGTACCAAAATAACCGACAGTAAATGAAATCTCAGAAATTAGATTGTCTAATATAACAAAGGTAAGAAAATGACAGCGAATGTGTACCCTTAGAAATTCCTCCTCCTCCGGAGTCCAAGAGAGTTTAGTTCGCCTAGTAGGAGGGAGTATCGGATTTGAGCTGCAATACAGGAGAAAGCATTCATTTTTCTGTAACTGCATCTAGTACCCAAAGAAGAGGATACCACTTTCAGGATTTCAACAAAAATAAAAAAACTACTAGCAGGAAAAAAATATATTAACAGTAAGATATTTCAGAAGCTTAGAAAAATTATGAATTGGAAGATGAACAACAAGAATGTTTCATTTGTTTTGAAGATATTTTCAGCATGGATGAAAAACAAGAATCTTCTTACCGGAAGCCCAATTCCGGTAAGAAGATTAATTCTGGACTCCATCTGCACAAAACCTCCATCTACTCGATTATTAGTCATACTATAAGGTCACATAATATTTGTTTCTAGTGCACTGTAGACTGAACTATTAATAGATGCTGCAAGAAAGCTTCTATGAATAACAGATCATCAACCAAATCACAACAAGAATGCCTGACATTTTCATTCCAGCAAGAGCTAAAAATAAGGCCTTGTGCCATGACAAAGAGAAAACTGGAACTAAACAAAACCAATTAATCCAGACAGCAGAATGATTGGTTGACCATTCCAAATGCTGATTTACTGGTTTCACAATTTCCTTGTAGAAGAGTAAACCCTAAGCCCAACTTTAACCTATTCTATGAAACTCCACACATATTCAAGACAAGTTAACAAAAAAATCGACACCAAAAATTGAAATCCACACATCAAGCTTAATGGAATATCTTCTATAGAAATCAGCCCCTCCACCTCGATTTCCTTGTCAATCTCTAGTTATTCTAGCCAGTATTCCTTAGATCTCTCCATCTTACCTATCAGATTCCAATTATCTCAATCCTCCAACCTTGTGGATGATCGAATCCTGTTGGATCAGACCACTTCATGCATGGTTTAGTAAAACTGCACCAACAGCAAAAGTTCAGATTAGCCCTAACCACGGTTCGGTTCAAACCGGAACCGAACCAGCCCAGCGGTTCGCCGGTTCCAACCAAACCAGAACCGGCGAGTGGCGTTTCGATTCTAAATCCCAAGTTTGGGAAACTGGAACCGCCAGTTCCGGATCCGATGGTTCAAGAACCGGAACCACCAGTTCGGCAGTTTTTTATTATAAAAAAAAGTGCACAGTCAAATAGGCTGTTGACTGACCGTTGGACTCAAACGGTCAGGCTTAACAGTCCACACTTGGCCCAATGATTGGCGAAGGGGCAAATGACAAGTTTGCCCCTCACAACAGCCAGGTAAACAGCTATATTCAGGGGTATTTTGGCCATTTTACAATAAAAAGGAGCTTACTATTTAGAGCCTCCTTACTTTACTATTTAAAAATTAATAGTATTTTAATAAAAATAATATTTTACTATTCACAGCCCCTCTAATTCTGCTTTTACCCTTCTTTCTTTTTTTTTTTCTTCACCACAACCCTTGCCTCCGCACCCTATTGCCAGTGACTCTTCCCATTGGTCGCTATCGTCAATGGCCGCCCCCAGCCTGTCCCCTGTCACTCCATGCCGCCTACGCACACTGTTGTCCCCAACCGCTTCTTGCCACTATACACATTGCTTCTGCGGACTCTCCCAACCGCTAGCTACCACTGATCTCCACCCACGACCTGCAACCCACCACTTCATGTTGCCAATTGCTGCCCCAATTGCTCCCCATCGCTCCCTGCCGCACGCACAAATTGTTTCTGCCGCCGACTCTCCCCACCGATTTGTCACGGACTTAGCTGGATTTGCCTAAGTCGTGCGGCACCGTTGCGTGTCCGTCCGCAAAGGTCAGCCTCCCCGAAGCCTCCCATGTCCCTTAGGACCCACAAAAGAGAGATCGGGTTAAAGAAAATGCCTCATTCGGGATCCACAAGCAAACATTTTCGAAAACACTTCATAGACAAAGCAAATTACAAACAGACTTTACAAGCTCTGAATAGTTGCACAACAAAAGTTAAAATGGTCCACTACAGACCGAACTAAAATGGGACTATTAAGCCTTCGGCTGTCCCTCTACATGCTAGTCAAAGTATGAACATACCAATAGACACGGACATACATAAGCATTACATCAAATATCTTGTTTAGAAGTTTGTCCGTGACATTCTCCCCCACTTATTCCTTCGACATCCTCGTTGAAGCCTTTGTCGACACTGCAACTCCTCGCCTTTTGCTGAGTCTTCAATCTTCTGCTCCAGCTACAATGCGCCTCTTGGCTCCCAGCTGCTCTCCGCTGCTATTTTTGAGTAGTCGAACCTTTGATCCACCATGCTGCTTCAACTCACCAATGACTCTGACTCTGGTGTGGGGTTGGCTGAGTTGTGTTGATCCCTGTTGATTTGCGGATCCTCCAAATGAAGGAAAAGACCATTCTTACTGCGCCAGTCTCTCAAATGCCTCATGTTGTTTGAACTTCTAAAGTTTTGGGTCCTACCTCCACAAAATTTGCCCATTGACTCTTCTTTTACTTAGTTGTCGCTTCCGAGTAGGTTCGCATCACTCCCGCTTTCGATTGGCATTTCGTTGGGAAATAAAGCGGACAATCTACTCACAGTAGTACTGATCACCGTTGGTGAGGATTTGACAACTATTGTCTTCCATTATCTTCGAAGAGTCTTTAAACTTGTGCAGAGCTCCTCTACTGGATAGATAAGAGAATTGGGGTACTCGGTTTCGCCCATTCTCTTAAGGATTGAGAAGGCAAAGGTTACTTGACTTCGCCCACCTCCTCGAGGTTGTACTCCATGCATCGAGCTGGTTACTGGCCTTCGCCTGCTCTTTGCTCACACTTCTGAAGCACATGAAGTGTTTGCACTCCTTGAGTTAAGTTAGCTACTGTGATTCACCTTCTCATTGCCATCGAATTTCTGGAATGCAAGAAGTTTTCACCCCAACTTAGAGTAATTCTCTAATAGATTTGGTCGTCTCTGGGATTGTACCATCTTCTCCATCAACCCTGCCGCCTACTCCCCTGAGTAGCAAAGGTACAGTACCGCGTACTGCCTGCTTCGTTCCTTGGTCATGCACTCTTGCATGACCCGAAATCCTTCACTTTCGGCTATCTTGATGAGAAGCTCGTTGACACCGGTCTTACGAAGTTCCTTGGCCTCTGCCCTTCAGCCTTGTCTCGGTACTTGGAGATTTGCCTCTGCATGCTCCGCCTCCTCGACCCCTTTTACGACCAAGCGCTCTCCCTCCATGAGAGCAAGGGATCAATGACTTTCATGAAAGTCACGCCTCTGCGACACCATGGCGTTGCCATGCCCATGGCACTACTATCCGTCGCCTCGCATCTGCATCCCTTTTCTTCACAATCAGTAGATATGCCTCTGTGGCACTCCTCCGAGTCCACCTCCATTCTAACTGATGCTTAATTTTGGGTAGCTAAGTCCCTCTGGACTCATCGTCACTTCCTCGCCCCTTTCGACCCCTTGCTTCAACACCTCTGTGTTCTCCAAGCAGCTCCCTTTGGTCGATGGAAAGACAGATTGCAAATCCCATGCATGGCCTCTGCCATCGCATTATAGGATTTGCACCGATTCTGTTCTCCTTAGCTTCCTTGATAGCAACGTTCGCTTACTCGACCTAGTCCTCTGACTTGCCAGGCTCCCTTAAGCGAATATGAGCTTTGGAGCAGTCCAACTCTCCAGCTGCTTTGATCATACCTCTGTATGATCAAGTCCCTCCCATGGGACTCACTAGTACTTGCATTCGAACTTTTCCCTTGGTGGAACACAGCCCCCATATGCTGATGACCAAGGCTTTCATCCGATGCAAAATTTGATGCACGCACGGAAGACCCGCCTCTGCGGTACCATGGCCTTCACTCCTTGAATCCATAGCCCTTCTTGCCGTCGTGTTGTTCACCGAAGTGGAGCTTCCAGTAGCTCCCGATCATACCTCCGTATGATCTAGTCCCTCACGGGACTAGTTTATGTGTATCGCATTGCCACGAACTGTTCCACCACGATCCGCTGCACCATGTCGCCTCCTGGTGACATCTCCATTACATTCTGATCCTTGTGGGATGAACTCGAATTGTGGTCCCTCCATGTGTGGCCTTTGCCAATACATCGCAGGGTCTCTTCCACCTTCGATTTTGTTCGCTCCTTTGGCAATCGACCTTCATCCACTCACTCTTGGGTCACACCTAGATGAAGCACCGCTCTAGGACAGTCCGTCGCCTAGTAGCTCCCGAAGTCCCCCGACTTCGCTGCAATTAGTGCACCATTGTCTGGACCCTAGGCCTCTGCCCCTACCAGCACAATCTTCGCTGCGCATCGCTTCCTTCATGGCAACTTGAATGGCAACACTATGGCATATTCTTCAAGAGTACCCGCCTCTGCGTCCTCTTGCCCCGTGCTAAGGCCTTCCGAACCCAACTTCACCTCCGCAAATTGAGTCGCCTTAGTTCCTCCATCACATGCTTTTCCGAGATAAGGTGCATGTGCCCAGAAGCTCCCTTCGTCTTTGGCACCATGCAAGATGAGTCCGCTCTGTCAGAATAAAGGACCCATGGAACAACATGATCCTACTCTTGCCTCTACAAGAGTTCATGTCCTTGACCTCTGTCCAAGGAAATCACTATGCCTCCGCTTAATGTTCCATCTTCTATGCTGGCTCCCTTCATGCGGCTTGGGTACTTCGCCATGTTACACCCAAGTTGCTCCGCTCCTCGTTTTTGCATTGAGTCGATGGTGGCCCTCGCGCCCACCATTCCACGGGTCAGCCCTCCCTTGAGTTCGATCTCCATATCGACTCCAAGTGTGCCTTCATTTGAGTTGCTGTGGGTCGCTCCCCCACTTGATCTCGCAATGCATCTACCAATGCATTCTCTCGAGCGAGATCATGCGACGACTCCTCGTCGCTTGCTCAGTCCATTGAGCTTCGTGGAGTTATTGTTTGTTGAGGTACTCCTCAACTTGTGAGGTCCGTCCCACATGATTCTCCCTCTGGAGAGCCAAGACTTATCCCTCCTGGATAACTATCCCATTGGAGCAACATCTCTCTTCGTTTCGGAGACCACCATCCCCTTGGACTACTCTGATCTGTTGAACAAATTGTGCATTGTTCTGCCTCCTGCAAACGCACTTGCTAGATTGCGACTCCACGTCAACACAGCCCCCGCTGCACCCCTCAAGGCCTAGCAACATGCTGAACCAGTTGCACCCTTCAGCCTCCTACGGACATATCCTTCACATGCCGAAGAGAAAGTTTCAATGCTCCATGACGCCGAGTTTCGGTCGCCTTGGGATGGCCGCGAACATTCCATCGTCCGCATACAAGCCCATGTATGAGTACCGAATTCTTTGAGTTAGCAATTCCCCTCACCTCTGTGAGCTTTGCACAACTCTTACGGTCGCTGAGCAACTCATTCCACCTTGCATGGTCTCATCCTTTACCAAGCACCTCGCTTGCCTTGAGCACCATCAAGTATAGTTGTTAATGTTGAGCCGTAGCTCAAACTCAACCATCCCAACCTTTATGCGCTCCGCATTCTTCCAGGCTTGCCTGTTCTCGTGGTGCCTCTTGCGCGAAGGGTTGGTCATTCCTCTGAATGCCAATCTCATATGCCCGCTCCTCCGAGCGACTTCTTTTCCCTACATCTCCATGCCCGTTTTCCCCCAAACAGTCGCGCGTGTGCTAACTGCCCTCAACGCAGCCCCGCTAGGTCCCCCACATTTGCATGCTAAGTGTTTCTATGAGTGCTTGTCCCGCTCTGATACCATCTGTCACGGACTTAGCTGGATTTGCCTAAGTCGTGCGGCACCCTAACGTGTCCGTCTGCAAAGGTCAGCCTCCCCGAAGCCTCCCATGTCCCTTAGGACCCACAAAAGAGAGATCGGGTTAGAGAAAATGCCTCATTCGGGATCCACAAGCAAACATTTCCGAAAACACTTCATAGACAAAGCAAATTACAAACAGACTTTACAAGCTCTGAATAGTTGCACAACAAAGGATAAAATGGTCCACTACAGACCAAACTAAAATGGGACTACTAAGCCTTCGACTGTCCCTCTACATGCTAGTCAAAGTATGAATATACCAATAGACATGGACATACATAAGCATTACATCAAATATCTTGTTTAGAAGTTTGTCCGTGACAGATTGTTGCCACCGATCACCACCCCTAGCTTGCCCCCCACCATCGCTGCCCCTAGCCCACCCACCTGCTACCGACACTCCCCACTCCGTCGCTGTTGACCTCATCCGATGTGGAGGAGAAGAAGGGGGAAAAGAGGAAGAAGGGATTGTAGATAAGGAATGAAAAGATTTTATTGGAATTAAGTTATAAATTGAGTGCATATATGTCTATTTACAAGGGGATAACTTGGGAATATTTAAAGTTCTTAACACGTGGTTATAAATAACAAAAACAAGATTGTAAGTAGCAATCTCCTAAAAAAATGAAAAAATTCCAAAAGAAAACAGATTTGCCCTTTCCAACAGCTAAATAACAACTAGTTTTGGAGGCATTTTAGGAAGAGATCTGAAAACCCTATAAATACCCCTCAAATCACTCATTCTTCCCCACACTTTTGATTAAGCACTCATTGAAGTTTGAATGCCCTTAAGCTCTCTTCTTGATCCGATGGCAAGTGGAAGCCACTGTTACCACCGAGAAGGCTTTCTAATTAGTAGCTTCTAATTAACTATAGAACAAGCCAGAGCATTCTAATTTGCATATATGATCAATTGCATCCTGAAGAAAATGCCAGATATGATAAAAGCATAAGGTAACTTACTAGCGCTTGGCCCGAGAAATATGCCTTTTAGATTTGGCTGGAGAGGATTTGTTTCTACCATTGTTATCAACTACCAAGATATCCTCTAGTTGTCTTTTCCCATGCTTTTCACCAGCTAATACCTTGTCTACAGAAGCATGGCCTTCTTCCTCAGGAGTCTTCAACTGTTGTATATTAGAATGGGCCTCAATCATCACAATGTCATCTTGCCTGACATCATTAATATCTCTAGCATGACATGGATCCCCAGGGCAGTTAACAGCAGCAGCATAAGGTTCTCTCAAGTGCTGGTGTTCTGCAACCTCAACTTGTTCCCTGTTACTTCGTGGAACAATATGCCCTTTGCTGAGGTCAGCATTACCATTTAACATGAGGCCTTCTTCCTCAGGAGTCTTCAACTGTTGTACATTAGAATGGTCCTCAATCATCACAATGTCACCTTGCCTGACATCAATGTCTCTAGCATGACATGAATCCCCTCGGCAGTTATCAGCAGCAGCATAAGGTTCTCTTAAGTGCTGGTGCTCTGCAACCTCAACTTGTTCACCATTACTTTGTGGAACAATATGCACTTTGCTGAGGTCAGCATTACCATTTAACATGAGAGAGGTGCAATTATCACAAGCACGTTCACGTTCTACTCGAGAATGTTCATTGACTTCTACTGAAATTTCATTGAGCTTATTCCCCTTACACTGACTTGAGCCGGCACTATGTTCACTACATGAATTGTCAACAACTCTTGTTTGATTTGTTTCTTTATGAACACCTGATGGTGACACCTTTCGATGTCCTCGAACAAAATTTCCACCAATAAATTCCGAAAGGACTCTCCTTGCTTGAATAAAATTTTTCTTCACTTTTCTATATGAAATAGCAGCTCTTGTATATGAACAGAAGGGGCAGTAAAAAAGTCCTGATGTATCAAAAATTGGTGACGACCCTAAACATGATTCATGAACAGATATCAAACAGCCATTGCCACCACAAGTCAACAATTCTCCGCCTTTATCACACTTAATACACAAACCTTGTTCTGTACAACCACCAATGGCAGAATCATCATTGATATGTACTTGGGAGCTCAAAAGGCGGTGCTTCTCAGCAGCAAATATATCATTATGTAGTTCAGCATCAGAAAGCACATTACATGAGCCATCCCCATCTCCTGCTATCTCTGGTGTAACACTAAGCTGAACATTTAAACGGCTTTTCTCAAAGAATGCAGAATTCATCTTTTCTCCACTTCCATCTACAGATACATGTTGCAAACTTCCACCTTCGTTACAAGGTAACTTGGTAATGGTAGCATCTTTCATCAAATGAGCATGATCATCATCCATAACAAAAACATCCAAGGGCAAACGTTGTCCAACTCTGGGAGAATCTTCTTGCATGATTATATTGATATTAGCAGGAACTGGACAAGATGAAATCTGTTGTGGTTGTGGCATTTGGACGCCACCAGCATCAATGTTTTCTCGACCAGGCAGCTCACACATGGAACCCTGTATAATAGTTTTATCATTAGTTGCAGTAACATTTAGCTTAACTAAATGCTCCATGGATTCTGAAGCATCTTCTTGAGATATGACAGTATTACTTCCAGGAGCAAGGAGACCTGAATCTTTTTCATTTGACTGGGCATGATAATCTTTAGTGCTTAGCTTAATCTTCTTCCTTTCGTTCCCAGTAAACTCATTGATATTTTGATAACTGCCACCATTATTAACACCATCTCCTTGTAGCATCCTCTTGAAGCCTTCAACAATCTGATTTGGAAATTGCGGTATAGATCTAGTGCATTCTTCTTGCAGTAGTCCATTGCAACCATCAGGTGCAGGAGCAGCTGGACTCTGTCTCAATGATTCCATTTCAGTGTTGTATGTGCTTACTTGAAGCTTCTTTGCCCTTTGAGACTCATCACTGACCTTGCCCTGAAAATTATCAACTTCATTTTGTACTAGCAAGCCACTGATTTCCTTCAACGGCAAGAGAGCTTGGCAATGGCCCTGTAGAATGGCTGCCTTTATCTGACACATAAATTTGACAATATTAGACAGTTCACATGGAGAAATTGCCTGTGCACTTCAATTTAATACAAGTTTAACATACCTTGTCAAGAGAAGACCCTGATAAGGAAGCCCTCTTTTGAAGAATAAACTTGTGAAGGTCAGGAGTGAGCAGGTTTACCTTATCCTTTTCAAGATTAAACAATCTTGCTACCTGAAAAAACTGTACACAAATCTTAACTGTCTGATAGTATATTAACAATAAAAAAGAGTTAGAAGGCACTGAAACGATGAAACAAATATAGCAAGCATTTAGATTTTAGCATGACTAAAATCAGGAGTGCATAACTTTAAAAGATCCTCTAAGAAACCCATGAAATATGAAACCATAATCTAGTGCACTTTGTTTGCAAAATATTCATTAGAATCTTAAGCCTACTCCATTACAAACATGATCAAATATTCAGATTGGTTTTCCATCTATTTACATTTTTGTTTCAACTGTGTAAAATGTTTGTAGAAGAATTATAAAGGTCTGAAACATGTTAGGGTAATTTTTTACAATAAAAAGATGAACAAGTAGGAAGTCTTAAATTTGACTAGGAAACAGAAATGGCCATCTACCTTTAGAAAAAAAAGAAAGAAATGCATGCATAATGTTTAAAGAAGAGGGGCATATAACAGCTTGACAACTAACTTTAATTATATAAAATAAGAAGCATGTTAATCATGGAAAGCACTAGCTGCAATATTAAGATCTATCCAAAAGGTTGTCAACTTCATTATATATTTTCTCAAACACTTGATCAAAAAATATTTATCAGAAATAGATAAAGTACCTCTAACTTTCTGTCTATGAGAGAACCTCACATACATGATGGAAAGCATAATTTGTTGTCTATGTTCTTGGCAGAACTTAATTTTAATGTACATGGTCATAATAAGTCGACCTGCAATTCTTATCATGCATAGACATGGACAATCATCTATAAACATCTCAGACACCATATTTCTAGCACCTGGAAGCCACATGCATTAGGTGCACCCTCTGTGCATCCACTTCAATCAGAAACAACAAGATAAAGAAACATCGATCTACCCACCTTCTCTAACCTTCCTCATCTCACCCTCTCCATTCCCTACACAGCTCCCCATTATTTCTTTGACAATATGAAGTCCAACATAAAAGATAGTCCAGAACCAGGCCTGCTCATCAACAAGAATTTGTCACAACAGTTAAAAGTTGTTTTGAATTGGCTTACTGGCTTGTGACTTGGATATGAATGTTTCTCCCAAAACAAAGTTCATCATTCCTTCTCCCAAAATCTTCTGGTGCAAGGAAGTTTTGAATCCTAGTTGTATAAGCTTAAAAGCAACTTTTAAAGTATAACTTCCATCTTAACAAGCATTATGGATTTTAATGCGAGTTCATCTCTCTAATAAACTTGCTTTGGGTAGGAAGTCTCTACTTTAAGGGTTTGACATCAAGATGATCACCAATCATAAAATTTCATCAAAGACACTGGAGATTTGGTTTTGCTCTATCAACAATATGACACTGAAGGAAAATAACTCAGAGAGCAAAAAATCAATTTTGTCAGAGGCAAAATAATCAACTAATTATGCTCTAAATTTTAGTGTACAACAATGCCTAAACAACTCCAAACAATAATGCACTGGATAATTAGATATTAATGCTCTTTGGTGCTATAAGGCATACTTAGGAAGTACAGAAACTTAACAAAAAGGCACAGCTAACCAAAAAAGCACAAGCAAGCTTAAGGAAGTGACAAAACATTCTTTCTTGTGTAGTCCATGATTCCATGTTGGGGTTATTACACAAGTACTTCAAATTTGCATTATAAGCCCTAGTTTTTGGTTTTGCAACTTAAACTAGTGAATTAAAATATGCAGTGACATTACATTTTATCTATTGAGCAATAATTGACTATGGTCCAGGTGCTCATACTGGAACCAACATAGAACGTTACAAATATATATTTCGTTCGGTGAGTTTCATAAGTTAGAGGGAAATTTTTTATAACAACTTTCCAAAAAAAAAATTCTCTGATATTCACCAAATTCAAACTAATTAGACAGACAAAGAAAGCAATTTAAAAAAAATAAAACATGCATCACCACCCTAGACATTGATCTTGTAGGATTGAGCAGACCTAAGTCATATCTGATTCCTTATTCAAGATGTGAATCCTACCAAACAGCAAATATCTGCGTGAGCCTTGGTCAAGGTGTGACACAAGGTGGCCGTTTGAATCATGCCACAGCATGCCATAGTCACCAACAGAAAGAAAATAGTATACATTTACATTTACACAAGGATAAAAAAGGGGTCAAGGGGAAATTTAAAGATGAAATAGCATACAGAAAGATCAACAGATATGCAAATCATGGGATTCACGTCAAAAAGAAAATTTCCAAGAGCTACAACCATGACAAACCCACACATGAACCAGAACGAAAGGAAAAGCAAAGAGAATACCTTCCGCATCTCCCGGGAAAGAACTTCCTCGCATGATCGGTTGACATCGATCTTACCGGAAGAGGCCCACTCCGAGGGACCCTCCTCTCGATCTACATCCACGAGTTTCTCCAAGTACCTCAAAGCGACCTTCTCCCGCACAGGTACCGGGGCGCCAATTAAGATCTCCGCGTCCTTCAAGATCAAATCTGCAAATAGAGGTGAGATATAAAGAAGAAAAAATTCAACCCTAATGATCAGCAGCTAATTCTAGAGCATAAGGAAACTGTAGAACCGCAGACTTGGTTACCCCCGAGGACGGAAGTGTCAACTTGCTTGCAATTTGCTAGGGTTTCGATGACCCAATGCCACGGGAGAGGGTTCGACGTCATCGAAAAGCACAAAACGAAGGAGCAAGGAAAAAAGAAGCGCCGGCGACGAGGAGAGGGAGGCGGCCTCCGGGGAAGGTGGCAGTGGCCTCTGTCGACGGGGAGAGAAGGCTGCCACTCTTTTGGACAAAGGGAAGAAGAGGAGGATGCGATCGGTGGGGCTTCATCGGAGGAGACCTTGAGCGGTTCCGTTGTGCTCCGTTTGCCACCGTGATTTTGAACGGTCAATATTGGGCTTGTTGGTATCGAGGCGGACAATGAAAGCAGGTCGACATCCGGCCCAGTTACTGCAACTGGCCCAATTTGCGGGCGGGATCGTTGTCTCGGCCTCTGCACGTGCGGGTGTTTTTGATTCCTACTTGGTAGTTCTATTCCATCACGGACTCGCAAAGCTGAACCAAGGCGACACCCGCTCTTATCACAAGCCATTAGAAATATAGCTTTTATGCATGTCCATGGCACACCATCTGCGATATCATCATCTCCTCGTCCCTGTTGCGTTTTCGTTGGTCTCCTCGGTGGAAGAGCTCCTCCCGAAAGGTAAACAACTCCTCGTCCTCTCCTGCATGTTCTCTTTGATTGATTATATATTGTTACTATTTCAGTACTCAGGTTTCTGGTCTTTTATGTTTTCTGATATGTGCATCTATTTGATGTTGGGTTTACTGAAGATGATGCGTGTACTTTTGTTGGTTGCCCATCTATTTTTCTTTATGCAATGTTCCTTTTTCTTGGATAAATAATGATTTGAGAGCTATATATACGTAATTCTTCTTAGCAGCGATTAAAAACTCTTTGTAATAAAAGGACTTTCTTTATGATTAATAAATGATCATATTGGATTCGCTTTTGTTTCTTTTTGTTGATTGTAGTTCTTCTACTTGTAAAAATAGATTAAACTGTAAACGTCCCTCCTCTCTTGTTTTTGGACTCAGGTGTCGAGTGTTCTTGCAAGGACATGGATAGCATGGACAAGTTTTATGATATTGAGGATAATTTCAGGCGGTTTTCGTGTCTTTATTTGAGATCTTATTTTTTATAAATTAAAATAGAGAATTTATGATAAGTAATAGTTATGAATTATATCATAATTAGATTTCTTTTTTATTGATCGAAATCATAATAAGAATCCAATCATATTTATAATATATATTATTTAATTAATTAAATAGAGTCACATAATCTAATATTTTTTCACTTGTCTAGTAAGATATAAAAAAATTTAAAATTAAAATAAATAAAATAAACTTTTATTTTAAGAATAATATTATTTAATTATATTATAAAATTTTAAAAGATATTTTATATTAGCATAAGAATTTAATAAATAAGCTAATAAATCTAATGAACATAATAATATCATATTAAGTTTGATTATCAATGTGAGTCATACCAATTATATGTCATTAATGTCATATATAATAAGATCATAAAACTATTAGCTTTTTAGACAATCACAAAATGACTTTTGTAGTAGATACATAAATATGAACAAGATAATAGAAATAAATAACTTTAATTATGTAAATAAAATATCAATTATAATATTCACTGAAGCATGTATCACTATATCTTTTATGGGTTACTTACAAACTTAATCATAAAAACATATTCTTTCAAATATTTTAGGGTGTAAGGGTTTAGTGAATGGATCAACAATCAATATAATGAAATTTAAATTCTTAATTAACATTAATTATTTTTAGACTCTTTCTGTAATCATCAAGTATTTTATATCATAATACATATAACATAAAACTATTAGCGTATTTATAATTTTTAGAAAAATAAACTACTACGATATGTTATAAAATATCTTCAGTGACTTAGTAATTAAGTTTGGTCATACTGAGTCCTAAAATAAAATTTCACAATTATAAAGTTCGATTAGTGACATCAAGGCATAACACAAAATATACTTTTATTATTGATAATGTAATAATACAATGCTTAATATTTTTTAATAAATTATCCATCTAACTAATAAAAATATAAAAGTAGATTTTATTTATTATCAAGATAATTTATAAAATCAAAATATGAAAATACTATAATTTTATGCAAATCTATTTTCATATATGTGAGCATCCCCTCAAGATATTTTATTATTTTTTTTATAGCCCTTTAGGGTTTCATAGATTACTTTAATATATATCAAGTATTTTGACAAATTGATATTTGGTCCAATATAGGTTTGAGCATGTAATATACTAAATATTTTTTTTTAATCTATTTTAAAGTTATTTTAAAAATAATTATGTTGACTAAAATATTTATTTTTTAATTATTGAACAAAGTTACATATTAAATCTTTCTAAGATTTGATAAATATGGTTCTAATAATCATTCAAATCTATCCTTGAATATCTTAATATCAATAACATAAGATATTGATAGATATTGATATTTATCTTAATTCATTCATATCAATATTTTAAAATTCTTCATGAATTTTTTTTTGTTTTGATATAATAAATCAAGATCATTCTTAACAAACAAAATATTCTCCACATATAATATTAATATGATAAACTTGCTCCTATTGATATTTAGATATATGCATATGGATCTTTCAAATATTACATGCTTAGTTTATTCGTTTGTTGGGTATTTGTTTTTGCGGGTTCGACGATGATAATGATTTGGTATCTCTTTAAATGCTTTTGCATAACAGCTGATAATATGTCAAAGTTTGTTGGCATAACCTGTTTCTTCTTCACCAGCAGATAAAGATAAAGAAGTAGTCGAGGCAGATAATTGAAGACAAATTGGCTGAAACACAAGGTTAGATTTCGCATGTCATTATGCTGGAGTCAGATTTTCCAATTTTTGAAGCTGCAAGTAGAATGATGTAAAAACAGCTTGATAGGGTTATGGAACTCATGGAATAAGAAGAGAAATCAAACTTCCATGATGTAAAAACAGCAGAACATTTGCCCTTGGAATGGGGATGCATCATTTCAACTTTGAAGTTTGACGGTCATAGTTGTTACCACCATCATTTCTTTATGTAGTCGTAGTTTTAAGATGTTCGATCACATCATACTTGATACTTGCAAGTCTTGAAAGCTTAGCTTCCTTGACTGACACTACGAAAAGTACACACACACTGCTGCAATCACTTACTTTGGTAACTGTTCAAGGTATGACCGAATCATAATCTATACAAGTTACTTAAATGTTAGCAAAATGAACAATTTTTTGAAATGACAGTGTAATGAAATACAATTAACATGGCTGCCATTAAAAAAAAAATAAATGGAAACAGGCGGCTGGAAAGAATCGTGTCCAGCCAGCGCCTCATTTGAGGGCCTGCACAAAGAATCAAAGCCTGCTCTAACTCAAATCTCTCCCTCTCGCTCTCTATTGTTAGCGCCCGGTTAAAACCTCACATTAGTAATCAATCTGATGGCACACGCTAGGAGGCTCAGGAAGGAAATTTACAGCTCAGCTGCTCCATCTGATGACAAAGAGGGCCCTCTTTAACTTTTAAGTTCACTGGACGGTGGATCTTCCACCGCCACAATGGTGTCGGGTAAGTTGGATTGAAGATTCACTTTTAGCTTCACCCCAACTTGGCCGCCGTCGGGTCTGATTTTGGAGGACATTGGAAACATGCCTCTGGAGGTCCTGCTAACACCCGATTCAAAATTCTTTTGAAAATAACCACTAGTAGCTGGAGCAGGATGGTCTGCCGTAGCCAGATGTCTTCCTTCTCGATGGAGCTTCTTCAACCGCTTTAGCCCCTGCCAATTTTAAATCAAGAATTAAATGCAACCCAAAAATATCTTTCTTTTTTCCACTAATTAAAACTGCTGCTTAAGTGATAAACGAATCTGATAGTTCTGTTGCAACAGAACAACAAACATATCTTTCTTTTCTCCACTGCAAAATCCTAATGTACAGATATTGCCAGCAGCACTTTTTAAGCATATTTTTCAGCAGACAAGGTAAGAAGCTATAGAGAAGACAGCACCAAACTGATGTGAATTTTTTAAACCTAACCAAAAGAATGTACGCAATAAAAAAAAGCTAATGTTGGCAAAACCAAGGAACTACAAATGCATTTATCAACCAATAAATCATGTTTCATGTGATGCCAGAGACTGCAAGCCGGCATTAGATATCACGATCCATTAAAACAAACCTGGTGTTCCGGGAGGTTTGAGTCTACATCACCAGTAGATCTTTTCCCTAATTTTATTGCAGACCTGCGCTTGACTCTGAATATTTCGGAGTCAGAGTCATCACTGTTTTGCATGACTGAAGTATCAGAAGAACCAGCTTGACAAGAAGATGCAGCTGCATGCCTCTCTGGAATTAGGACAGCAGATTGACATGAACTGGGCGACCCGGAGCAAGATATTATTCCTATATTAGTTTTTGCATAAACCTGCAAACACATACCGACATAATTAAAACAATAAATGAAACAAAAATATGCTTATACCCAATTATGAACATAAAAGCATGTAAATAGGACTCCAACCAAATGACGTACAATATGCAAGGAACCTCCACTTAACCGCACAGATGATGTCATTGTTCCAGGAGAAGATAGAGATTCCCATGCCACATCCTTGTTAGAGCCCTCTAAGATGCAAACTCCTGAGCGCTCCGGATTGTCACCCCTAATATCGGGGCTTGACTCAAATTTTATCTCACAGTATGGAACATATCCATCATGTTCAGCGTTGTTAAACGGGCTTGTCCCTAGATAAAAGTCATCACCTTGTTGAATTTGCTTTAGAACCTCCTCTAGTACATCAATCTCTTGCTCAAACTTCCGTGAGATGGCCTCCAATTCCAGAATGTCCCCTCTCAGGAATATAATACGATCGAAGCCACAAAGGCAGCTTCTAAGCTCTCTCTCTTGCCAGTATAATGAAGATCAAATAAGTCAAATCATATTGTACTGAATCCCATAATAAAAACAAATAGAGGTAATACAGATCAACTTCATACCATGGCGGAGACAGATTGGATCCTTGATGCAATTACACCTAACATAAGAAATATAGCAGTCACGTTTGCAGATGCTACATAGTACAGTCTCTGTGTTAATAAATGCACAGGCTCCTGATTTCATGAGCGACCAACGAGCACGGTGCTGGAAGCGCATTAAGTACGCAAAAGAAAATTTAATGCAACGTTGCGAGTGAAAGTCTTCAGATGAAGGGCGAGGACTTTTAGAATCAGGATTTAACAATATCTTTGAAATAAACACTGCTTCCCTACAAAGAAGTTCCTCATGAGGGAGCAATGGCATCCTGTTCAGAAGTGCATATCGTTGGCTAGCCACAGTACCCAGTGGGAACCAATCACCAACAGCAAAATTCACTGCTTCACCGCAATTGAATCCTGGAGATGCAAACAAGAACAAGAAACTTCAGATAAAGCTTGAATCAGTATAACATCTCATGGTAAAGAAAGCGAACACACGTCAAAAATAATAAAAGAACAGCCACAGGCTGCAAAAATCACCCCACCGTGACTGAAGCCTGCATGATAAGCTCGAGGAAAAGTAATAATGAATTCTCCAGGTCTTTGTACAGCTTTATAAACAGGAACATTATGTTCTAATAGAATATTTGGAGGAAACATTGTGGTCTTTCCCAAAAGTACATCGAAAGCTGCATCTTCTCCTTCACATTGCAAAATGTCAGAATCATATACATGATTCCAGACCACCTTTTCAAAATCTGTAGCAGCATGGCCTGGGATACCATACCATGTTTTGAAAGCTCCACAATGATGATAATTAATGCTGGAAGGATAGTTTAAACCATATATCAGACAACTCTTTTATGTCATGAGAAAAAGAACCCGATAGCTAAGATCTGACAGTTCCAGCCAATACCTATACAAATAGTGATCTTCAACATGCCAAGCGAACATACTAAAAAGCATTCCAATGTAAAGCATGGGATCTGTTACACCCTACAATGGACCGGAAACCAGTTACAAAAAATCAAATGAATAATAAGTGCTTGACAACCGAAAAACAATTGGTACTTACTGGAATTGCATTTGCCAGATGCCGAAGTACAGATTTTGGTAGCCGAGAAAATCTCTGGACACAAAAGGCTGTCTTAGTACAACCAAGCAAAAAATATTTTCTAGATTCAGAAGAGTTCAAAATAATTAATGCTTTAAAAATATTATGCATCGTACAGAATTCATTATTAAAACAACAATCAGCATATTATAGTGTAAATGTTCTTCACCAATTTACATATAAGTATTCAGAGCTACATGAAAGTCTTAAGGGTCCATCAGAAACTCTGTTACAAAACAGAGAATTCTGTATGAAAGATATAGAAATTTCCAAAATACATAATTCGGTAAGAAAGAACTCTGCAACATATAAAAATTTTCAGGTAGTAAATAAAATACAAAGGTAATGAAAGATATAGAGAGGCAATCGGTACATGATACCAACATGAAAAACTAAACCACATCAAATATCAAAATTTCCAAGTATAAAGCAGTGAAAGCCACTCTTCCTGGTATGTTGATATTGCTCACAGTAGATGGTGGGAAAGGTAGATGCAGGTCCCTGAATAATCACGAATAAAAATACTATTGCTGCATAGCCTGACTACAGCCAAAATTGGAGAAAGGGAGAGGCAGAGAGAAAAAGAGGATGGGAGGACAGAGACTGGGCAGATCACAATCACCTTCAAGTTCCACTTGCTTTGTCCAAGTTGATCTCTAGGAGATGATGAGAAGGCACTTCCATCAATGTCACATGCATACTCAACCATCTCTGTCTTGCCAAATGCAATCTCATGCCAGAATTGCTCTTCCATAAACTTAGCAGGGAGACATCCAGCACTTGAATACCTTCGAGAAAATACCTTGTTTGCCATCTTCTCAAAATCCCGAAATGTATACTTCCTGAAACCACCAACTGTTGGCATACATGCAAGCTAAAAATTCAAGAATCATATACCAACAGTTAACTAACCTTCCACTCAAGAAAAAGGTGACCTTGTCATCTGCAGCCCACTCGGCAAGACGTAGAGGCTGCACTCTGGTAGTAAACTTAAATCCCGCTTGCTCCTTCATTAAAACAACACCAGCAGGAACTGAAGCACTTATAGGGGAAATGATCTTACATATGCCTGAAGCATGTCAATAGGTTACAAATAAACAAAAGTATTTTAAGTGACCAATGCATCAAGAAACCACATTGGGGTACAATAAGGCACCAAAGTACTTCATGATAAATATGATGTGTGTGCTAAGATAACCTAACCACATTGAATAAAAGATGAATCCATAATATGAATCGCATAATTTCCTCCTCTTGCACAGCACGATTAACTCAGGTTACATGCTTGAGTCCATTGTGCTTGGAAATTGAGGGCATTTGCTTGAAAAGAGAACAGTTGCTGAAGCACTTATTGTAATAATCTTCAGTTTTGAATTGTTTATGATATCCATGATTTTTTTATTATTTTAATATGATAATTTATTTATAAATTTTTATACTAAATAATTTCTCATATTAAAATAATAAAAAATCATGGATATCATAAACAATACAAAGATGAAGGATATTGCACTATAAAAAAAATTATGAATATCATAAACAATTAAAAAATGAAAGATGTTACACTTATGGGCTTACATATGCCTAAAACATGACGATTGATTAAAAATGGAAGAGCTATACACATGCTACAATTCTCCGATCACATTGAATGGGTCAGTTCCATTTCTTTTGTTGATAAGACTAGAAATTCAAACGTGTTTCTATAGAAATAACCGAGACTATTTAGTGTTAACGTTTCTGAAACCTTGGCTATGGTCATCAGAATTTAGATTTCAGTCAAATTGGCCAATTTTGTTCCAAAAGCACATTAAGGAAAAGATGGCCAAATCTTTCTTTCATTTAATCAAGATTAGGATATAACCTATCAATACAAAAGGGCTGCCTTCTGAGACCAAGTGCGGACTGTAATTAGACAGTAAAGGTATCATACTGCAAATCATTTCTGGAAGAGGTCATAAAGCATTTAAAAGTAAAAGAACACACACACAATATCACAGCTTTCATGCAGACCATATGGGCATCGAGAAATTTATGAAGAAAACAATTTGAAAACCATCTAGAAAAAATGAGGAGACGCTTTCTCATTTTGCTAATCAAATTAACACCACCTTAAGCAGTGCAAAGAAAAGGTCATACAAGACTTTTGAATGGGATTAGCTTTCAATGACTATTTTACATCAGGTTTGAACTGACAGATTCTGTAACAAATTTAAATAAAGAAAGCAGGTGCAGCCATAGTGTCATTTCACAAAAGATGATTGCTTAAAAATAATCATCATACCATATCTTGAAGCAACAGGAGCAATCCTTTGAAGATAATCTAAGGGGTTCTCGAACTCCTCCTTCGAGGGACTAAACACAGGACATTCAGGGATCTTCTCGATCCATTCTAAGTCAGACATATCAAACTTTTTCACTTGGTGCTTGGAAAAAGCATCCTCTACAGAAACACTAACACGAGAAAATGCATCAACATTCCCATGCATTCTAGTACCACATGATGCTGAAGTTCTTAGAGCATCCCCTCCACTTCTGGACATTGTATTACTTGCATTAATAGCTTCAGGTATAAAGCCAGACTTTGTCTGCTGAAGCCTTTTTCTTTTCAAGATTTCTAACCCATTTTTAACCTCTCTAGACAAGCAAGACCTTCCTTCCACCTGTTACAAGATAAGATACAAATGGACAATGATAACTGATCAGTACAAATGGAGCTGAAACCATACGAACATCTCTTACTTTGTGTAGAATAAGTGAACAAAAGAAAACAATTTAGTAGGCAAGAAACTGTAACAATCTTCATATAGAAGTACAAGAAAGTATAATTGCAGTTAATGAAAAACGAGGTTAAGTATCATCAGCTATGATAAAACCAGGCAACATCAGGCATACGGAAGGCACAATTATTCTATGGGAAGATAATGGGCTCAACTGGAAACAAGCACAATGTATTAAATCCCGAGTCCATTTCACACAGCATGCCAATCTGATGCACTCAATGGTCATATCATATGGAGAATATGGCTGAGAGTAAGGTTGAAAATGAAAAATTAGATAATTAAAACCAGAAAAAGGAGTTTACACTCAAATGAAGAATTAATGTTAGCACAAAGACACGACGGGCCTGTTGGAGGTTGTATTTAAAAGACATTTAGAAAAGAATGAAAGTTGAAGCGGTCAAATGCAACTCTGATGAAACTGCCGGTCAGTCCGTCTGAGAACCAATATAATGTCATACAACGTGCCAAACACCAAGAAACCAATATAATGTCTAAGCATGAAAATTGTTTTCAAGCATCTTCAACGGATTGGAATCAGAAAATAGTCTTTCGTTTCCAATCTAGGCCGTTCTTTTCCTATTTGCTCCTGTTGCTGATCAAAAACAAAAAGGCCGGAGTTCATGACATCCAAGTCCAGCAAAGGAATAAAACCTCGTCATCGACGTCTGATTCGACAAGAACTATCTTGACCTACCGGGTTCACAAAAGGACGGCAAATCTGAGTGCAATGCCGTCCTATTGTCTGCACCAAGCTCTACCACTGAAGTCTACATCTGTATCTAGATCACTTTTACTGTATTCTCACATATATTAGGACATCTCAAATCAAGAGCACTAAGTTGTGGCTCCGGCTAGCGGAGACGAGACAACAATCTTGCTTTCAAGAATCGACGGAGGCAAATACGAAATAGTAACGAAATCAATTACGAAAAATACGTTTCAAAGGAAAGGAAAAAACATTTCGAAAGAGAAGGAAACCGCAATATGGTCGCATTCGTACAAGCAGAAGAGCCGAAAGGGCAAAGAAAAAGAAAGAAGGCAGTGAATTTAACATTAACCCTATAATTAGCGAAAAAGACTCCTCCCAGAATAAAGAAAAGCAAATCAAGATCCCCAAACAACTCCCGCGTGGTGAAAGAAAAGGAAAGGAATAATTATCATCGAATTTCCCAGGCAATTGCGACAGGAAGGGGAACCAAGAATTCCAGGTTTGTCGGCCGCTTACCATCTCATACCGATCGCGGATCCGTCCTGTCCTCTCCACCGTCCGGCGCTGGAATCAAGAAACCCGACGAAGGATTCCAAAAATCCCCCGCGGGAGAAACGCTCCGCAGGGATCAGAGAGCCCACATTACCCTCCGAGACCGAATCGCGGCGAGATCCGAACCTTTCGTCGCATCGCACGGCACCCCACCGCGCGCACCGAGAGAATCCACGAAGAGGATGCGAGCCCTCAGCCTCCGAAAGACGGGTGGGAGGAAAGACACGGCGGCGAGAGGATGGGTTTCCCGGCGAGGGAAACAGGACGTTTCCGGCGAGGAGAGGAGACGGAGGACGAAGGTGGGGGAAAACGGAACCGGAACAGTGCGGAAACGGAAGCGAGTTCTTGGAAAACCGGAAACAATGAAAAGAACGCCTATTTATAGTTATCCCATAAAATAATGCCCCCAATAGCATTATAATATTTTGTAACACCGCATTGAAAAAGCGAGAAAGCGGTAGTTGTTGGTGGTTCCACCAAACGCCAGCCCTGACGGAACCGCGTTTCCCAGGCCAAGCTCGTTACCAAATAACATTTATACCCCAGATTCCAGAACCCCGTGAAGGGTTATTTTGGTAAGATCATCGAAGCAGACCGCCAAGTCCGTTCTTGGACGGTTTAGAATATATCGCGATATATACGATAAATAGGTGATATGGCGGGACGATGGTAGGGAGGCCGGGTCAGGTAACTCCCGCGAAATAACTGGCTGTTCGGAGGGGCAGACCCGCCGCCGCCGCCGCCGGTGGCAGGTTCGGTTCGGCCACGCGGCGTGCCGGAAGAGCTTCGTGATGGGATCGGGCGGCTGTGGGGTCGACACGCGGCGGGGCTTTGTGTTGTCGCGTCACGGCTCAGTTAAGAGGGGCGGTAGGGTTGCCAGGGAGGGGTGAGCTGGGCGTCGAGCGACGGCGTCACGGGGTTGCGTGACCGCCACCGAAGAGTCTGGAGCACCGCCGGAGACTGTAGCGGAATCCCGTGGGCTCCAGGTTCGTAAGCGTCCTTAATTCGCTACCACCACGAAGTTGATGTGACCATGGCTTGAATTCAACAAGTCAGGCTCCTTTTTCTTTTAATTTCCTCTCTCTCTCTCTATATATATATATATATATATATATAAATAATAGTCAGAGGCGTCATGATTTCGTTGAGTTGGGGAATCGATCGATTACATGCAAACAACTTCCCAGGAAAGAGAGTGAGGAAAAGGGGGGTGAGGAGCCCGCCAACCCACGTGCTTGTTCTTTGTTGGGTTGCGTTACGCGGTCTGACGAGGGATGGCTACAAGCCCGGGTGGGAGAAAACGATTTGGGAGATGCGGCTCGTGGTCGAGTCTATTTACTGAGCAGTAACGCTGCTCCCACTGCGTTGATTACTTGTGACTCGTGATTGGTCGGGTCAGGAGATGAGGTTTGAGAGCGACGCCCGCATGTGGCATCGATGACTCACGTGTCGTCTGTCCGCCATAAATGGTGCCCCCGGAGCTGGGTTGGGTGGTTGGCGTGCTTCGTCTGGTTCGGGTGCGGTGAAGCTACCGAACGAGTAAAGGACAATAAGTGGTTTCGGGTTGGGTTGCACTGAACCAAACCAAACCAAATTAACATCACATGGTCCGGTGGATACGTGGGATGGTAATGGCAATGATTTGAGGTGATTGTACGTGTTGACTCCCAGCAAAGAAGCTTTCGTTGGACTGGAAGAGTGACGTGACACAATTGTTTGACATGATCGCTGCCTTCTTTTGACGATTGACTTTTTTCCGTGCTCGGAGCTAATTGCCCAGTTTTCAACCCACGAACTCCGAGCCTATTGGTTTAGTTGAATCCCAGAATTCTGTCAGATGTGACCGAGCCGAAATTTGACCCGATAAGATATCATCCCACACATTAATCATGTTGGAGAGTGGAGACTATTGGATTTTTTTTTTCTCTTAATCTTCTTATTATTATTTATCTGACATCCCTGAAAGTACGTGTTGCTTTCAGAAGGAAGTAGAAAAACGAAAAAGGAAAAGAAAAAGGAAAGAAAAGACACCACTGATGAGACCAAGGAGTCAGGTGGTGTCATTAAAATAAAAACATTAAAACAGGAGTTATATATGTATATATGACGCATGATTGGCTTTGTCTGGAGGACGAGATACTAAAATGAAGTTGAATACGGATTGGAATTTTTTATTGACTGAAAGAAAGCATGTGATGATGCAGATTAAATTTGAGGTGATGGAGAAGGATCCAAGGCAAAGGCAGGCAGGCATGCATGCCTGACATATGACGAGAAATTCTATCTGCTGGGCCTTCTTATCCTCTCCTCCGTATTCTCTGGTGGAGCATGAAAGATTCCTTCTTTGCAACTTGTTATTTTCCCTGGATTATAGCCACCGGGACCGGGATGAGTTTGTATCCAAGGGACAAGTGGCTTGTCTTCGACATTAAATAATGGCATAAGCTCTGCACCTCCTCCTATAAACTGTGCTTCTTTTTATAAAGTGTACAGATTGGAGGCTTAATCTTATGTAATAATTAGGGAGTGGCATTTTACATGAACGATATAATAATTAGGGATCAACCTTGATGTACTCTCTCTCTCTCTCTCTCTCTCTCTTCACCTTGCTCTTAGCTACTATTTCTTGGTGACCACATGCTACCTGTGTGAACGATGCCACGTAAAAAGGGTGATGCCCGCCTGCAGCAGTAGTTCAACTGCATGATCTTTTGTTTAGCTTGGAAGGTACATACTATACGATGGCTGCCAAGGACACTTCTTGAGGACAGCAACCACTGCCTACCTATACCCATAGCACACACGGGATTAAGATGTGTTCCAGCGTGGATATATATATATATATATATACGAGTGACATGGTCGATCGAAATTGGAGGTCATGCGAGAATGAATAAGAAGCAGTAAGCAGTAGTACAGTACAGCCTCGTGTTGAGTCAAAACTTGAGGGAAAAAGATAAAAGGAGTGAACGGGGACATGGACATGTACCTGCCAGTCTTATCATTGGTAGCCATCCAATGGAAGACTTGAAGAAGGTAAGTAAAGATTGGCAAGGAGTAGACGGTCCTGAACATTATTATTATTATTATTGGATGTGAAGTCCATAAAACAGGACTCCAGGATTTCTTAGGTTCATGTGACTAATTACTGTAATAGCAGAAAGGCTTGACTGTGTTAATTGAAGTTAAGGTTTAACCTGTCGGTTTCATCATTTGTAGATTTAAAGTTTTGGCAGATTTTTTTTATAGGTAATTTAAGGTTTTCTACATTTGAGGTCAATAAAAGCAATCGAATTATAAAGAAATTTGATAGACTCAGTTTTTTCAATGGGTTTATATTTTCACATAACATATTTTTAAAGATGTCGATTAGTTTTGCTCATAAAAAATAAGATCTTGGATTTGAATTATGTTTTTGTCACATACATTTGAAATAATAATAATAATAATAATAAATAAATAAATAATGAAATGGATGTGTGTGCCTTATATTTTCATCTAAACAATTATTAAAGATGTTGATTAGTTTAGCTCATAAAAGAATAAGACCTTGAAATCTAATAATGTCTTTATCACATATATATGAAACAATAATAAATAATAAAATAATGAAAGAGATATGTGTGATTTATATTTTCATCTAACAAATTATTAAAGATGTTGATTAGTTTAGCTCATAAAAGAACAAGACCTTACGATACTTGGGAATCTATCATACATATTGATACTGTTAAAAAAGATAGAAGATAGAAATTATGAAAAAAGTTTTATTCCTCGTTGAAATGTTCTCCCTATTTATTTATATAGGAGTGAGGATTTTCCACGATAGAGTAGCGAGATTTCCTCGTAAGAAATATTATCTGGATATTTGATGCAAGTCAATGCATCTTACTCCCAAGACTGCTGGAAATGTCTTACTGTTCTGCTGCGATCAAGTAAATTCATGCATCTCATGAAGAAACGCACTAGTTACACATTTATTTCCATGAGAAGGGCCCAATCACGGCCCGTTTCGTGATTACACGGGCAAGCGTGGGCTGTTGCTTCGGTAATCATTGTGTGCGTGTGTGTTCCAAATGTTGTGATAACTATTCTTTGTGTTGCACGAGTATAGGAACAGTCGTTTTTATCGTGCTGTGGAGAAGATGTTCCATAGGACAAGGAGTTCAAGTGTACCCAATCAAGCTCGATAGAATCTGAACCCAACTGACCTCCTAGCGGTCGGGCTTCAACCAATGAACTCCTTCCACGGCTCAAGCCTTCCCCTTGGAATCAAAACCGAGTACTTATCACACCACAGCTTCACCCTTCCCCTCCGGCCCGTTGGCCTTAGGTCACCTCTCTCTCTCTCTCTCTCGCATGTGGACAGCTGCAGGCGAACTACCAGCCACCGGTGAACACGTTGTCGTATCATTGGTTGGCGCAACATCCACGTTTCGGGGAAAAAAGACAGCGCAACGACACCTCATACACGCCACTCGTCCTCGTCAATTGATACGTGACACGTGGCCCCCACGGTCTACCGGAAGAAGGTACGGTCAGCGTTGCCATTTTTGTTATTTTAAAGTTGCCAAACTTCGTTTTGCACTGCTGGGATTGTAAATGCTGCTGCCATTTCTTAAGACATGGCCATGTACGCCTCAACCGCACTGCCATCCTCTCTTTTCCGAGAGTTTAGTCTCCCTTCATATAATTAGTTTATGCTGATGTTTTAAGAAAATATCTAGAAATTCAAATTTTTTAGGATGGATTAACGGCTTTAATTTTTGACATCAATGATGCTCGTGGTTGATTAAGTCAGACCTAAATTCTATCCTTGTCGAAGTCCAATTGACTTTGTATGAGGTGACTAAAGACACGTGAAGTTACATCTCCAAATGCGGAACCGAGCTTTGGATATCATTTATTCGCGCATCAAAACACATATTGGGTGAAGGGCCAACAAGGTTTCTCCCATGTTTGAATTAGAAATCCAAATAAAATATATAGTTGATACGAAGATATCATCCATTAATTTTTATCTCACATATGTTTTTCACATGATATTCAAGCTAGAAAAATAAGACAAAAGCTGTCTCTTATCATTTTATCTACATAGATATAAGTACAGATAGTTATAGATTATCTATATTCTTATCACATATACAAAAGATCAAATTGAGATTATTAAAGATTATTGAAGATTGTCCTCTCGAAAATGATTTTATAAAATATTTTATCCATTCACTATCAAATATAAAAACTCACTTTCAACATAGTTAAGGATAATACTTTTTTACTTTGGAGGTATCTCAAACAACTATGTATACATGGGTTAGAACCACGTCGGGCTAATCAAG